ACTAAGGCAAATTAACACCAACGAACTCAAACCTTACTTGGATTTCGATGATTAACACAGCAGATATCCTCATTATAATGTTTCTAACAAGAGATGACGCTAGACCATTTCTTTTGTTATTAGAATTAACGCAATGCCTTTAACACAGCGTAGGTCCTCTAGTTTCTAACAAGACATAGCGCTAGATGGTTTTATTCAGAGTTCTACTAACTGCAACAAGCTCAGACTTTGTTACTACCACTGATACATACCATTTCTACGTATTGTTAAGTTATGTCAGGGCTTGTAAAGTCTCACCTCCCTGGTTATGTGTTTATTTTGATTTCATTTAATACTGCATTTTTCTTAATATGATTACAGAATAACTAAGAACATATAATTAAACTTAAAGGGATAGTTGAGTTCTGTTGCAGAGGGCACAATTCAAAATAATTATTTTGTGAGACTGAATGTCAAATTTGAAAGAACATAGGATGGTATTCCGGTAGCGCGTACTAAGTTAGTCCACACTTTTATGGAGTGCCAGTTGCCAACTCGTTTACCCTGTACAGATTATTTTAATCCTTCAATGAAAAGTGTCCAAAAAAATTAATTTTGCAATGAAATGGGAAGAAAAAAGATAATATGAGTATGACCTGAATTTCAGCAAAGTCTTTCAAAGACTTTGCTGAATTGGTAGATTATCTTTGTCATGAATAAAAACCTAGCATGTGTACTAAAGTGTACTCCGAGTGTGTACTAAAATTCTTGTTAAGTCTGGACTTAGTCCCGGCTTAACTTATGAGAATAGGCCTACCACAGTTTAAATGACAGAATCATCTTTGTTTGATCAAATTCGGTTCAGAGACGGCTGAAATATAACGATTTCTTATACTTGTGTATAGGCCTATAGATAATTTGAACCAAAGGCCGTTGAAAGCCATTGGAAAAACAAAATAGCGCCTTTTATTTTATATTTCAGCCAATGCCGATGTTGGCTTTTTTTTTGCTTTTTTGTGTTGGTTATATTACGCACAACCAGCCGGCCCATGTATTGTTATTATTAATTAACTAATTAACGGTCACCGTATTTTTTGAAAGTGGAGCTGAATTGATATGCTCGTATTGGCTAAATTTCACACATGTTGGGGTCTAAGTACATTGCAGTCATAGCAATTTTAGGTTCTAAAAGGGCACTGGAAATGTCATAGATAAGAATAAGAGCAATAACCATGCACTTTGAAGGCATTTGCGGTCTGAAAACGGAACTCAACTATCCCTTTTAAAGTATAATACAAAATATACATACAATAAAAACTTCATGTCAAAATGTTATGTACCTATATACATATAATAACGAAGCTTAATATTTCTATAACATATTAATATGAATTAATTTTTTATCAGAACTATCTGTGGAAAAAAGTGCAGGAGACTGCAATCATGAGCGATGCTTGACTAGGATGGCGGCCACAAAAGAAAAATCTTAATGTCAAATTTAAAATGAAAATGTGATATACGATCTTTGTGTATGAGTTTGTGATCGAGTGTAGGTACGATTTTCAATCACATATTTCTCATCCAAATAATGTTTTTGGTTGTTGATTCAAATGTATATTGTTTAAAACATGAATCAAGCTTACTAGGTATCGAAAAGTTATTACACATTAGACATTTCAGAGAAAATGCAAAATTTTGTGTAAGATCTTTGAAATTAAGTTTGTTATAACGAACGAACAAAAACGTTAAGGGCAAGAAAAAAATAAAGAATAAATAAAAATATAGGGCCTACACATTACAATTGAAATCAAAATTAGGTATGGATTTCCTACAGTTAAGAGGTATATAAAGTGGTTTAGTGCCATATCTCTTGTACTATTTCCGTACCTTGAATTTTGTATGCCTAATTTTTTTTGAAGAATCTATTTCTTGTAATTGTAATAGGCATCTCATACAAAAAAAGAAAGAGGGGATGCAATATTGCAGTTCAAGTACACGTCTCTTTTTTTTTCTTTCTACATTTAAGACTCCTGCAAAAAATATCATTTTGAAAAATTGAAATTGTCTCCATGTAAAGACGCGATGCCCTCCGTTAACATTGCATCCTTTTCTTGACTTGTTTTAAGCATAGAGTACTTAAAATTTTTTTTTGTGTCACACCATCAACAGCTGCATGTTAGATAAACATGTTAATTTATTTCTATAGCAATATCATTCAATAACGTACGTAGACAAACTCACAGAGCAAAATTTAGATATTAGAGTGTAAAATACCTGAGCTTGTAAGTAAATAATTGTGCTTGTTTTTTCTAAATGAGATGATTGGATGTGACAAAAGAAATTATCTCCCATGACAGTTGTTTGAATGCACTATTCTTAAAGGTACTCGGTAACATTATAAAGGTGAGAGAAAATGGTGCTTAGGCAGTGACTTCAATGCTAGATGTTCAATTAAAGATAATCTGAAAGTTTGAGTGAAAAAGGGAAAAGGAACAATTGTTGACGATAAAAAGTGGGGAAAACTGAATCGATCGATATTTTAATTCTTCCAACTCATTATTACAATTTGATTACATTTTAGGTGAATGTAAATCGTCACAATGCAATGAATTAGCTTTATATACCATTCCAGACATTTAAGAGTTGAAAGATTTTTAAAAGCCTGTTATTTGCCTTATTTTTATGGAAAAACTGTTGGGAAAATTCAAAAATGGTTGGGATAATTTACTGTTAATCACTGTTAGAGGGTGTTCCTTCCTAGAAAACCATTAATATCTTTGTGTTTTTTCAGAATTTTTTGCATGTTAGAGGGTTAGGAAAATAATAAGTAACATTTCGCATAAAAATTACGCAATTTTTAAGTCAACCTTCAACAATGTTACCGAGTCACTTTAAAAGAATTATGAGGCAGATCATAATAAAGAAGAAGAAATAAATTGCATAAATTGAGCCTACAACTCTCAGAAAAGTCACAGCGAGTAAAGTGGTCTAGCGCCATCTCTTGTTCAAAGTATTACAATTGGTGAAAGAAAATAGTCTTTCATGTTTGAGTTCGTTGATGTGGATACATAAATAACATTTTGTCCTCAAAATATCTTGGGTAAAAGTATAAAGAAATTAGGTTCGCGGTAGGAAAATTGTGCTTGTTTCTAATTGAAATTGATATGTATGACAAAAGAAATCTCTCATGACAGTAAATGCTGCATGCATTATGATTATTCTTGAAAGCAGGCGCGTACGCAGGATTTTTTCAAGGGGGGGGGGGGGGGGGGGGGGGGGGTTTAACATTTATAAATCGGGCCGAAAATTTCGCAACGACTCAGCCAGCCGCTGAATAAGCGGGGGGGGGGGGGGGAGGGGGGGGGGGGGGGTAAGAGGTCACATTTTAAATTTTTTTTTGGCCCCCCAAAAATCGCAACGACTCATCCGACCGCTGAATAAGCGGAGGGGGGGGGGGGGGGGGGGGGGGGGGGGGGTAAGAGGACACATTTTTTTTTTGGGGGGGGGGAGTTTCGAAATTTGAAAATTTGACATTTTGCTCCGTTGGGGGGGGGGGGGTAAGGTCAGCTTTTTTAGGTCAACCATGGGAATATTTTTTTTTTTTTTTTTCAAAAAAAAAAATCCAAAAGGGGGGGGGGGTTTAGAGAAATTTAGGGGGTTACACTCAAAAAATTACCAAAGGGGGGGGGGGGTTAACCCCCCAACCCCCCCCCCCCCCCCTGTGTACGCGCCTGCTTGAAAGAACTATGAAGCACGTCATAGGAGGAAGCAATAAATTGCATATAATTTGAGCATATAAAACTCTGAGACAAGTCACAGCGAGTTAAGTGGTCTAGCGTAATCTCTTGTTCAAAATATTACAATTGGTGAAAGAAAATAGTTCATGTGGATACATAAATAACATTTATCCTTAAAATATCTTCGGTTAAATAAGTAATAACTAAGAATCAAGAAATCGTATTCGTGCATGGTAGAAAAAAATAAAACATTAGGATATTCAAATTGCAAAACACAATTGATGAATAGAGGGCCTAAACATCACAACCATGCAATGACAAGGTAGCCAATTTGTCGCCAATTGATAATGATCTGTCTGATTTTTAGGTTATGGCTGGACCTACTAAAAAATGTTCATTTTTAAATTTATACCCCCCCCCCCCCCGTAACACAAAAGATTTCATAAAAAAGCCGAAGAAAATCAAAGAAGAAAAGACTTAATAGAAGAAGAAGCTAGATGAAAAAGAGATTTTTAAGGAAATATAGAAAAAGAAGAAGAAGAAAAAAATAATAATTAAGGAGGATCGAGTAGGCCTATAGAGGAGAAAAGGAAGAAAGTGATCACCAAGTAATTGGGCTGGATCATAATTATAGAGATATAAGTTTATATCTCTAGCAATATGTGCTGGATGATAGCTAGACACGGCCGAAATATCACTGGCTGAAATCACGATGGCCGAAACTGTATATAGCTTCCAAATGCATTACTAGACAGGCGTTCAGAAATCAATATTTTACACTGATAAAAAGATGTCGACTTAAATGTTATTTTCCTTTAACTTGAAGTTTTTTAGATAGTCAAAGTTCAATCACAAGGTCTCATATAACCTACATTTCAGTAGATCTACACTGATGCTGACTTAGGCTCGTTGGCCTACCTACTCACACCACTCCAGCAAACCACGGAGAGTCAAAGCTAATGCGTATTAACCTTTAGCTCTGCATACGTGTTAATAGGCAGCATTTGGTTACATGAATAGTCAATACACTCATAACACACAGATGCACACAATTATGCCGATGCGGCTGATCGGCAAATTTGACAGTGGACTCACAATTTGAATTTTTAAGTTATTCTTTCTAACATCGGAAAGTTAAAAAAAAAGTATTTTACTGCTATTTAGGTGTCATCAATTGTCTCTAAGGTACCGATTTTGAGTGGAAATCAATTGAGTTTTTTACAGTGGTGTTTGAAATATCTAGAATCAAAAGCACAGCTTTTAATACACAGCCTAGCCAGGATAGTAATGCATCTAGGTGTGACTCACACAAGGAAAGGAAATATAGTTCGTAAATTTACTTGTATACTTTAACAAATAACACAATTTTGAACTACAATGTCAATTCAATTTATATTTTGTGCAAAAATCTTCAAGTTTATTGAAAATTAATTATATAAATATTAAATCGTTAATAACAGGCCTCACACTAGGCATTTGCGCATTGATTCTTTTGACACATTTGTGGTACGGTCGAGGGGCTTGCTTTGTACCGGAAACACATAAGATAGCTTCCGTCTCGTGATTTTGCGATGAATTTTCTTCTTTTTAAAGCCAAATGTAAAGTATTTATCAATACCCAAGTATTATTCTAAGTATACGAATCTCAGATCCAAGACAGCAGTGCAAGAAAACCATCGAATTTAGGTAAGTAGCACATACTCTCATGAACAGGTTTGCTTCCGGTGCACTGACGGTTTTGAGAAGATAATGCTTCCTGTGTTTTCCTAATTTCCCTGCTCCCCTGTCACTTCCGTAAACATTACCGCGGCTATATCAAAATTATGATTCTGCATGAGTCGAGTGTCATGATCCTTCACATTTCTAACCAAGACACCATTTTTATTTTATAACTTTCCTTGTGAAATAGATCTGTTTAATGTGTAGATCTAGTACAGGCTACAGCACTAGCTTTAAGTTTAATCCTGTGTGGTTTTAAAGTCAAAGAAAAGAAAACAAGGAAATTGAAAATGATTTATTTTAATCTAGATCTAGACTAGGTCTAGGTCTAGATCTAGGGCTAGAATCTAGATCTAGACTAGGACAGGAGTAGGAGTGGGGCTTAGGAGAGGTCTGGGGGGAACTTTAACATAGGGCCTAGCCAAATCAAATAACCAAACTAAAATGAAATTGAGACTGAGCTAGCTGAGATCAAGATGGTCTTGTCTCAGAGACTGCACTCCCTAGTAACAAGTTAGATCCTACTATAAATGCTGGGGAGTTTAACTAAATCTTCATCAATTGTTCAAATGGTCATGATTTAAAAGTTGTTATTTTTCTTTACCCTTTCATGTCAATTTTTTATCTTTTTTAGAGTATCTTTCCTAAAAATGGAAGACATTTCAACGCACTTTCTCACAGGTTTCATGGCAAACCGCTGCACAATTACAATACAAATTGCATACCATTGAGATGAAGGGGTGCGGCCCGCAATTAAGCGTGCGTGAAGTGTACAGTTGCTAACTTTACGCACGTGGGCCTGCCCGCCCACACTCTTCGTCGGTGCGTGGTATACGGTATGCAATCGTACTGTAATTGTGCAGAGGTTTGCGGTGAAACCTGTGTGAGAAAGTGTATTAATATCTTTGTTTTGATTAGGAAAAAATACTCAAAAGAAGATAAGAAAATTGACACGAAAGGGGTAAGAAACATAACAACTTTTAAATCATGACCATTAATTGAACAATTGATGAAGATTTAGTTGATTTTTGGTTGATCTCCACGCTGGAGTTTTGGTTAAAAAATGGATATACGAAAGTACACTAGCGCCAAAGATTTAGCCCCTGAAATAAATAAAGACATAACATTTTGATAATTTTTATACCTGTTTTTAGAAGATGAATTTAGACTTTCAAAAGAAATTTTGAAAATAGAAAAAATTAAAATAGATATTAAAATAGGGTGAGGCATGACCATGGAAAATTATGAAATGCATTATTTTTGTTATTCTAAATGTTCAAAATTACGCCATAATATACAAGTGTTTTCTTTTTCCTTGCCATTGAGGATAACTTTCAATAATTTTATCTTGAAATGAAATTATCAGAAATTTCAGTACAAGAATTTACTTTTTATTTCCCCTAAATCTAGATAATTCATCATGCAAAAGGGAGGGGGGGGGGGGGGTGGGTAAAAGAACAATTTGTATGTAACTGTGATGCTACACCTTTCTACATGTATCTTCTCCATCCTATTTTTTCTTTTGATTTCTTTCCCATTTTCAGCAGGGTCAAAAAGGGCTAGAAGTTCAGTGAAGTAGTACTTGATTGAGAGAATGTCCCTTGTGGATCTAGGGAAGAAGCTGTTAGAAGCAGCAAAAGGAGGTCGTGATGATGAAGTACGCATCCTGATGACCAATGGTGCTCCTTTCACCACAGACTGGGTGAGTAGATATGCTGTATCGATCAGGCTACATGTGGTCACTTCAGGGAAATATTGTTTTTACCCTTGGTTAACTTCCTCCTGTCTCTCCAATCAAAGAGACAACAACCATATCATTTTAACACCAATTTTCTATTTTATTTCATTATAGCATTCATTTTGTTGTGTTGTCTTCAATTTTGTTACAGATTGAGAGTAATTGGTACCCAATAAAGATTGACAATTTGTGCACCATTAGTTATTTGACATGTAGAGCTTAGTCAGAATATATGAAAAGGAGCTAATTTGAGAAAAACAGGAACAGATCTGAGAATTTATGCGATATTGTTTCTACAAATTGGCTATTTCAGCTTGGTCTGTCTCCCCTCCATTGGGCCGCCAAGCATGGGCATATAAGCACTGCTGAGGTTTTAATTAGGGCTGGCGTCAGTCGAGATGCTAGGACTAAGGTTGACAGGACACCCCTGCACATGGCATGTCAGGAGGGCCATCAGCAGGTAGCTGAGGTGCTGATAGCTGCTGGAGCAGACATTGATGCACAAGATATGGTAAGATTCTGATGAATGTTAACTATTCCTCAAAATTGTAAGTCAGTGAATTCAAAGGACTCTTGCCTTTTGACTACCATGATCATTTATACTCTTTCTGTAAGATAACATTAATCTATCAGATAATTATGATATGGATTGTAAAAGATATCTTCAATCATTTAATCATCATTACAATAATCAAGATACATGTACTCCCAGATGTGGTAGATGAACATGTAGATAAGATTTTATGCACTGACTATACAGGATAGTATTAGGTACTAGTATTATATTTAGAAGGTACTCAATGGACTTAAACATTTGAAACCCATGTGAATGCGAGAGAGAGAGAGAGAGAGAGAGAGAGAGAGAGAGAGAGAGAGAGAGAGAGAAGATGATGCCTTAGGCTGAGCTTTATTAGCAGATATTATATTGATGATTTTTGTATGTATCATATTTTAGCTGAAAATGTCACCACTCCACTGGGCAGTTGAAAGAGAGCACATGGAGGTTGTGGGTTGCTTACTGAGACATGGAGCAGATATGACAAAGATTAACAAAGTAAGTCTCTTACCATGTTTGTGAACTATTGTGGTAATTTGAGATAATTATGTCCTGGAACAAAACAACATCATCTTTTGAAACTCAGTCCTTAATCTAAAAATGTATTCATGCAGCATAGTTTAGTTAACCCCTTGCAAAATATTATATTCAAGAGTTCATAGAATTAATTTGTCCAAAAGATGAATGTTGGTATGATCACACACTATTTGCCCATTATTGGTCCTTTAGATATTGTTATTATTGCAATAATCATCTGTTTACAAATTTACATTTGTTATGCCTCCGCCCACTGAAGGTGGTGCTGAAGGCATTATTATCTATGGTTGTTTGTCTGTCCCACTTTCTTGTTATCGCAATATCTCAAGAACCACTGAAGGTATGAACTTCTAACTTGGCGATAGTATGTATCGTCATAGAATAACAATCTAATTCGATATTGAAGTAAGTAGGTCAAAGGTAATAGAGCACAATTTATGAAGATACAGGTTTTAGCCTCATCGCAATATGACAAGGCCACTTAAGGGATGAACTTCAAACTTGGTTGTACTAGTGTGCATCACCATAATGAGACAAATTTATCAAATTTTGAGTAAAAGAAATATATATATATATATATATAGATATATGTCAAAGTCAGCAAGTCGATTAACATGAAATTTAAGCTTGAACAAATCTTGTTACGGCCAAATCAGTGACTATTTTAGATGTTCACTTAAAACCTGTAACTGTAATATGCATATGTAGGGCTACAATTAATAACATTTTGAGATTGTCAGGTTGATATGTCAGTAACGGCTTTTTTGTTCTCATCATCATATTCCAAAAATAATTCAAGTCATGAATTTAAATGAATTTAGGCAGAGTTATATTGGAGAGGCAGTCACATTTGTCTTGTTATTTGATATTTGATAAACAAAAAAAACATACAAGCACACTGTAAGCAAAGAAATTAAAAACCCTTTGAACATGATTTTACAAACTGAATCTAACTCTATGTTTTTTTTTCCCCGTCAAAGTTTGACAAGTCCTGTATAGATATTGCATCAGACCACCGGAATCCTGTTCTTCTTGACTTACTGTCATCTACTATGGTGAGTTGAGATTAGATTAGATTGTAATAACCCTGTAAGTTAGAGCACGTTTTGCCTCTTCTCTTAGACTAATGTTATTAATTTCAAGGTCTTGAAAAGGCACTTAATATCAACGAACACACTCTACAACGACTCTAAATGACAAAATAATCCCAGCTTTGCATGTTATTTTAGTATTTGATAGCCCCAAAACTGAAAAATTTCTGTCCCTTTTTTTACTACCAATTATTTTCTGATCATTTTATTGATCCGCAATCAAAATTTATCATTCGATTTCACCTAATCAGCCAGGGATCGGCGCCAAATCCGTTTATAGGTTACGGGGTTAGATTTTAATACTGTATGGATGCATTAGACAATGATTATACGAATTATTTTTACTACAGAATTTAGAAGATCATATCAGCAGAGAAAGGATACTTGAGATGCTTCACTTCACTGAAGTGATAACTTGTCCTTTTCATTGGCCATCCAGCTTTTTGTTTTATATCAGTGTGAAAACTACAAAATACAACAACAAAACAATGGAAATGGTCACCCAAACATAGCTAAGTATGGTAGATGTCTGAATTTGATACATCAGTTACCATGTTTACTTTGGTTTATGTTGCAGCAAATCAAGAATGGTGGTGATGGTGCATTGCCCAACCCAGCATTAAGTACTATAACTCTATCAACAACCGCTTCCCCTTCTGTCCTGGGCACCATCAAGACCACAACGACTTCCATGAGACCTAAAGCCAAAATCACTACCAGTCAGGGAAAAATAAGCCGTAAGTTAATCAAGTTTAGAAGTAGAATGTTGACATTATTTGTTTTAAGAACAGTATGTTCGCTCTTTATTATTAAATTAAATCGAGGGATTAACTATGCCACATCATAGATGTTTTGTCTGAATATACTTCAGAAGATTAAAAAGGAAAAATTGAATTACTGTCAAGTGCAAGTTTTGTGGCCTTAATTTATGTGAAATAATTAAAAATGCTTAGTATAATCTAAAGAATATTTTTGATGAAGTGCCATAAACATATTTTCTCTAAATCATACATGAAAATTTATTCTGATGCATTGTTAAAGTAGATATTCATTGATTTTAAAAACTAACTTTATTTTCATTATTGCAAAGTTGAAACTTTGATTCGACAAGGTTATTAAAATTCAATGCTTGGAAACATTCAAAGTAATGATTATTATAAATTACAAAACGCTTAAATACAGCCCCGGCATTGCGCCTGAAGAGCTCTCCGAACGCTGCTGAGATATGTGAGATCACAGTATGGACATGAATTGCACAAGCAGACGATGCCCCATGACATCTTACACATTTTCAGTGCCTGTGTTTTCATCTTCTCTTGAGTTCTTTCTCTTACTTCACTACCGTCAGGCTAAATGTATAATCTATTTCCTCACTCTAAACCCCACGCATGGTTTTATTTTGATGATAAATGCAGCAATACAAAAATAAAGGAATCTGTCGCTTGTAAACAAAATAAGATGCCATTGTATATTCAGCTGCACACACCGGGGTATGTTAGGCGTTTCAAGAGGGAACAAATGCCGTCCTTAATATCATTCCGGGGGGTTTTCAATTTGAAAGTCTGGTTTATTTGATTGTTAATTAACCCCTATCCTGTGTATTTACAAGCAAAAGATTTTAGTTATCAGAATCGGGTCATATCCCCTTTTGAATGGTTTGACATGCCATTACATTTATGTACTCTAAACTCATTATAATTTGAGAAATAATAGCTCTGCAATTATGTTCATTCTGTATGGGATGTCGTTTGCTTGGGCAGTGTTGGTCCATATAGTGACGTCATTAAAACATCATTATTTTCCCGGCGAATCTCTCATATATCCCAGCTGCTATGGAGGTGGTTGTTTTTGTATTTTTATAAATCACTCGATATGCAGTTGACCTATAACTTGTATGATGGCCATCTGTTAGCTTACCAGTTTCTATGATACATTAGTTGACATATTTGTGATTTTCTTTGAATTTCACCTTTAACGTTTGAGTCATCAACAGCAAAAAGGTCTTTCTTTGCAATTACACATGTAGAAGCATATGTTTTTAAAATTTATAAATGAACAAAAGTGGTCACCCACATGTTACTTAGTTTAGATAAGTGGGCAGGTGTTCTGATACTTTAATACTTTAAGTATTTCTATTGTATACATCTCTTATTTTATGGTTTTCTATTTCTAAATGAAGTTTAATCATCTTTGATGTAAGGAGCTGCTCTTAATGACTATGATTGTGTCTCTTTATTATAGTTGATCTGGGCTCTAAAGGCAACACAAGTTCCACTTCAGTACTTGCAACATTGGCTGCTCTCGCCGAGGCATCTGCTCCACTCAAGTCAGCAGGTCAGGCAAACAACAAAAAAGCACATTTCTTTGATAATTTTGTAAGATATAAGTAAACAATAAAGTTGATTTGCTAATTGTTTTAGATGCTCAACACATTTAGCCTTGTAAGGAATTTATGGAGAAAAAGTATGACTGAATGACTTAAGACCAAATGCACAACAATACCCTCATGAAAGGCTTACCTTACCCGTCATTTAAAAAAGAAAGAACAATGTTCATATATACACTACCACTGTTTATAAAGTTGTGTTAAGGAAGATTATATATATAACAAAATATTTGATATTTGAAGGAAACCTCACCCCCAAAGAATAAGTGTATGTATTCTGAAAAATGAGATGTATTTCTGCCCTTTTATGTACAATATTCCTTAAGAGATATAAATGAAGCTATTCTTGGCATGATGTGATGCCTTTTAGCATGACGTGGGTGCAGCCATTTGCTAGAAAATGTGATGTACCAGGTGAAATCGTACATGTATGAAACACCAAGCATTATTTGGAAAGATTTTTTAATCAATAACAAAACGTTTACTTTTTAATTAGGAAAAAAATCATAGCTGAGAAGATAGAAATTACATTTGGTGGGAAATATATAACAGGGAAACAATTGTAACTGATTCATTTAAAAATACTAAAATATAGCAGTAGACAAGTGTATTTCATTTATGAGAAACCTTCACCCCAGAAGAGCACCAACTATTTCATGCAGTTTGCGTTCTGGCAATTGCAATACAAAGGATAAAGGCAGGTGAATGAAATGCTTAATAACCACACACACACACCTTAGAAGGAAGCATCCCTAAATTTGAATACATTTACTTGGTAAATGACTTCACATAGTATACGTCACATTATCAACAAAATGGCGATGCCCATGTCGTGCTGAGAAACTACATTATTCTCACTATATGCCTCTCTGATACACTGTGGTTGGGAATCTTGTAGATTAATGGGTAAGAATTTAATAAATCTCTCGGAATAAGTAAAGTTAATTCTTGGGGTAAGGTTTCCTTTAATTCTACAGCGAGTGTATGGTACCGGTATGTTTGGTAGTAGTTGGACTGTCTAGGGAAAGGTAAAATCAAAATATATTTAAATTTTTACTGAGTGCATTTTGATTTGTGATTCGCTGGCTTAAAACTATTTATGTGATGAGGTAGTTCAGAGCATATTGGTCTCTATTCATTCATTCCTCAATTTAACAAACATACAAACATTAAAACATATATGGACCATTTCAAATAGTAAGTACAAATATATTATGTGAATTCATACAAATAAGAGCAAAAGGGACCATCATTAAAAGTCTATTATGGGTAGATGGTCTCAAGAATTGAGACAAAGCGAAAACAAATTTATAGAAATAGAGAAGAATGTAACCTATATCCTACTTGTATATCGATTCATTGATTTCTGAATTTAAATTATTGTGAATTAACTGTTATATCTTGATGAAGAGCTTGAAGACTATTCTTGTGTCAAGTACATTTCCATATTTATGCCTAAATATTTATATTTTTTGTTATGTAAAGACTTTAAATGGAGACCAAATACAAACTATCTGTGTATTCGGACCTACAACATGTACGTATCTGACCTATTTTGGTTTATTGTATAATATATTTAGTAGTTGGTGTCTAATTTGATATGCTCCCGACACTGCAGCTGTTTCGTCCAGAAGGAAAGTCTAATAATCATTTCCCTTTAATATGCTCCTGCAGGATCTACAAGTGGAGCATTGTCCTGGCTCCAGGAAGCGTCAATCACAGTACAACCAAATCAGACGTATACCCTAACAGACGCAGGGCGTCTTGCCCTCAATCTCACCAAGCCAAAGGCAAAGAGCAAACCTGCAAGGCAGAGGAAGTCTTCCAACCCAACACCACTTCCAGTTACAACAGCATCAGGGGATGTCATGCTGCATCAGGTAAGAAAGGATAAATTTTCCCATAATTGTTTTCATTACATTTTTTAAATTTGCATTTTTCATATCATTGAGCCTTTTGCAGAAGGACAGTAGCATGCGTGCTTGCCACAAAGTGAATTTCTGAAAACTTGCTTTTAAGGTTTTGTTGACTCTGTCATATTCCACTTTTATTGCCTCCGCTACGAAGTAGCCGGAGGCAATATGTTTTGGGGTTGTCCGTCTGTCTATACGTCTCGTTCTCGTGATCGCATTATCTCAAAAACCGATTGATGGATTCTTGCCAAACTTAAATCATGTATGTATCTTGCTGAGCCAATGAAGTGAGTAGTTTTGGGGGTCATGAGGTCAAAGGTCATGGGTCTCATTATATGCAAAAATAGTTTGTGGTCGTATTATCATTAGAAAAGATAGACGGATTACCATCAAACTCAAAATATGTATGTATCTCTTGCAGAGCCAATGAATTGAGTAGATATGGGGGTCAAGAGGTCAAAGATCAAAGGGTCATACATGTATGTATATGAAAACTAGCTTGTAATCACAATATTCTGAGAACCTGTTAATGGATTACAATCAAACTTGAATTAAAAAAATTGCTTCCGTTTTGGTTTGTAAAATCACTTTATGGCTGAGGCATCATTTCCGATTGCGCGCAGTTGAAGGTCTATCTAGTTTTGCAAACATTTGTGTACAAAATACTGCTCTTTCTACATGTAACTTACCGTTAAAAACTGCCAGTTGTCTATGTCTTTTGGTTGATTAGCATGTTTTGAAGCAATCTAGAAAATTTCAAAAAACATTAAAACAAAGAAGAACATATAAAATCAATGCATTTATTTTAATTTGGACCAATAAAAGAATAAAAATTATTATTATATAATAAATATATAATAAAAGAAATTAATAAATTAAATTACAAAAGAATTGATAAGATATTTTAAAGATTGTCAGTGTGATATTGTTGACTATGCTTGTCAGAGACGCTTTTTGAAGAAGATTTTAGACTTTTGTACCTCACCTTTGTATGAAATAGAAGTGGTCATCTACATGCACAATTTTGTTTCAATTTAATTTTTCAAAGTTTCAAGGGGGGGGGGGTCAAAATTACATCTCCTCAGTGAAAAGTAGCCTAGTATGAGAGTATGGTGAAACCCAACCCTAACATTAATCTGGTGATGGATGTGAGTCAGAGTGCAGAAGAGAAACAAAAAGGTGGTACTACATCAGTCTGGTACATGAATGAATGCATGATATATCATTGAAGGATTCATGTTACCAATAGAAAGGAAGTGGTTTATGTATGAGCGGTTTGGGAAACAAAGGATGTCTGTTTTGAATGTCTGTCTACCTTGCTCTCCCATGCATGAAAATATAATCACTGAGCATAAAGAACAAGCCCTTTAAAACAATACCAGATTCGGTTGTAGGATCAATGATCTCAGAAGCCTTCCTTTTCCAGGCAATTTAAAAATAGGAGGAGGCAGACAGTTCTTCCTGTTGTGGTAATGAGGGAAGTAACGCCACCTGAGATCTTCTGGACAGAGTCCAAGAGATCATCAGGATGCATGTCATGTTGATGGCAATGTGCACAAAGTGAATTACATTCAATGTGAACGAATTGATAATTGGATGATGTTGAAAACCACTTGAAACAGCCTCAGTAGCACATGTTGATGTCAGGATTATTTGAAAATGTAAGATCGCATGCTTGCATCATAAGATTAAAAATATCACAATACATTCTTTCAAAATCAGTGAATTTATTTATTTTTTGATAATCATTAGATATTGTTTAAACTTTTTCTACTAAGTTTTTGATTAGTAATGTAGGAGACAAAGTTCTAGGTTCAGAATAGACAACTTTGTATATACCGGTAAAGAAAAGTGAATTTCAAACTGTAAGGCATTTACCTTTTAGAACATCAAATATTAATTCAAGATCGCACACATTTTACTTTATTCTCATCCTTCATAAATTTATGAATGATGATATCCAGTAAATTTGATTGTATTTCAATATTCTGTGATCTTGCGTTGACTGCTACAATTGCAACATATTAGATGAGCGCCATCTTGTGTTTCTTGGCCATTAGCCAGTTACAGGTGTTATATCATTTTCTTGTTTAATACTTTTTTTCTTATTGGCTACTTTTGAGTTTTGACTCCCTGCAGCTGTTCAAACAACACACCCCACCATCACTCACTCACCAGTCAGTGTTGATCTTTCAGATCCTTCCTTTCATTGCCCCGGCCGGCCCAGTGAGATTCTAGGGAAGACATGTCAGCTTAGAGCAAAGATACATTGTAGGATAGCCTTCCCGTCCGTGGTCTACATGCACATGATACTCAGATATTAAGATTGGAGTACATTAATCATAACATTAATTATTTTGTAGAATTACATGTCTAGATGAAAAGTATTGAGCTTTACTATTAAGATTCACATAACTGGACTTTCTAGAATTCTTAGAGTATTTATCACATATAAATTATGTGGACATCAGAGTTCCTCCTTTATATGCATCTTACATCTTACTGTACAGTATAAGATGTATTGTACATATTTTGTACATACATACATACATACATGATGATTCTGGTTGTTGCCTTATACACTTATATGTACATCAACACACAACTTTGCTTGGCTGCCTTTTTTGTTTTTGTGTATTCAATTTGAAAGTCCTTCCCCGTCCTGTGTTGTAGTATTGTCTTCAGTGCAGCTTGGACCAAAGTCTGCATTGCTATTTTATCAAGTTTGTGAATTACCATGAGTTTTATTGAAATAATCAGGATCTCATCTGGACATTTAGAATTTTTCAGACAGGAATTTTAGGTGAGATAATGAGATCAAGATAAACTGGCAGAAGAATAGTTCCATGTATGTTGTAACCTTTAGTCAAGATATCACTTCAAATGAAATTAGATGGATATTAAAGGCAGTATTTAAACCACTTGCAGTGTTGAATCCAATTTGTCCTATTGAAATAAATTTCCACTAGCTCTTAGTTCACTTACACCAAGAAAGGAATTTTACAATGGGCAGGCTATGCATGTACATGTACGTGATAATGGTACTACAGTATAAACAAAACGTGAAGTTCTTCTGTTACGAGTGGTCTTTGACCTTGACATTGAAAAATGTTTGGAAGAATGTCTTAACCTTGAAACTTGTTGTGCATGGAATGATATACACAGCTTGATGTCCTTCATCATTGTGGGAGAGAGCAATGGATTAAAAGAAAGTGAAAGAGAGAGTTTGTTAGAGGAGGAAGAGTGGGAGGGAGGAAGAGTGGGAGGGAGATGGAGAAAGAAATAAAGAAATAAAAATTGATGGAGTACTACATTATCTTTATTAAGCCTGTATCCTTTAACCCTGGACTGTCCTTATAGTTCCCGTTTGATTTATTTAATTATTTGTTGTTGTTATTGCTTTGTTCTGTGGTGTACATGTATGAGTCACGTTCCACCTGCTTATCCTGGATTATGGATCACATTATATTCAATTCACAAAGTGGGTGTTATGTAACAGAATAGAGTGAATTGACTTTAAATTGTTTGTTTTCTTCTTCCTTTTTGTCTGTCTGTAATTGCTAAAAGTAATCTCCTCCAATATGGACTCTAGGGGCTCCATTTTATGAGTGTTGTATAGGTACTTTACATCTTTGTTTGTTATGTGTCTTTATAACACCAAATTTTTGACAAATGAAATAAATAAAAAAAACCACTTACCCAACTCAATTTGTTCATGTATTTACCAACCGAGCAACAGCCCCCAACCGAGATAATCCACATTAGGACAACTATCCTATTGGTACCTTCCAGACAACTACTCCCTAGGACATGTACCCCTTACTGCATGAGGTATTGTTGTCCAGTGGATAAGTCTCAGGACTTTGAGCCACATGGTATGGGGTTTGAATCCCTGTTGCCACATTAATGTCCTTTGGCAAGACTTTAACCTACATTTGGCAACTCAACCCAGGTGAGATACATGTAAAATGGGTAAATGGTGAGAATAAATTTATTGAAATGCTTTAGCATTATAATGGGGGCCGTGCTAAAGTGTGTGTGGGGGGCGTAATAATGATGGGGCACCCGGATTGGTATCTATATTACTAATACCACTAATCGCCGCGGGGGGTCCAACACGGGGCAAAACAGTTCCTCAAAAACGTCTTTCCCCGAACCACGCCCGCCTACGCCGTTCCCGCACGGGAACGGCGACGCAATTCCACGAGGAATGTCTCCCGTAGCCACCTCGACCCCGCGATCGACGTCGATGTCGTCAAACGCGGCTTCGGGGTTCCGGGGAGGACGGGCGGACGAGAGCACGGCAGGCGTTGTGGATTGCATGGAGGTAGTGTCCCTGTAAAGGGACACTACATGGAGGCAACGAACTCGCGAGAGTGAGGGGGAAGGCGTGCACCCGCCCTCTGTCAAATCAAAGAGAGACAAAGAGATACACGATGAACGAGAATCCACTCGCGTCAACGGGTGTAGAAAATCTCTTTGTAACGGGTGCGGCGTACCCCGAGTTAAGCCTCTTACTATAGGATATGCTTTGTAGCATGTCAGAAAAATACACATTAACCGATGAATAACCCGGGTAATGGGATGTGGTAAATTTACGCTCTATTGGGTTGGGCTTACCCGTGTTATGAATCTTGCTATAGGGTATGCTTTGTACACCAGACGGCCTATGCGTGTACGTGTATAATAATGTATGCGATGATCAAACGCGCAGTCGGTTTGCGACTTTCATTCTATGATTGCCGTGATTTTTATATAGTTTACGTGAATTAGAGGTATGAAAGCAGGGCTTATTATCCTTCCATGTTTACTGAATTTTAATAATCATTCTTTAAAGGTACTATGTCCCATTTGCAGGCCAAAAAAATGAAAAAGTTAAATTCCAACTGCATTTGAAAGATAAAACTAATTTAGAACTTCCCTAAAAAAGGTGGGCCTTGAAAATGTCTTCAAGTGGGAAAATAACGACTATTAGTTGTCAAATCGACTTTAGGGCTATAGAGCCCAAAAGTAATAGTCTTGATTTTCAGACAATTGTACCGAATGGTCATACGTTTTATGCTGCGCAAAGATTCAATCAGTTTAATCTTGGCCATCACAAGAAGTGGGTTATTGATGTAGACAAATGCTCATGTACCCTTTACAACTCTTTTCATGTATGTTATTACAAAAGAAGAAAAAAAGCCAGTCAGTCACTCAATAGTGTCTGACAGTGAAGTCTAGCAAGTAAACGGGTTTCCTTGCATAATTTGAATATGAGGACACTGCTAACGTTTAAATTTCACAGATAGGACGTGACATATTCATAATTTCTACAAAGTTCTACAGAATTTGAGGTTGGCTGCAAAAGGGACATAGTACCTTTAAAGTAAAGTTTTCACAAGAAATTCATCGTAACTGACAGTTCAGTTGCAAGCTAGCTGCCGTGAGGCTTGAATGCACTGCATCAGCACTGTCAGAGCACTGTCGGAACTGTGACTGTGTGTGAGCTGAGCTGAGCTATTATAGAGTAGGCCTAGACTCGACAACACTTTGAAGTTGCTCTTATTGCCCCGATTTCAATATAGTTTTGTTACTATAGAGGTATGAAACCTGAGCTTAGATTGTGATTATTCGGGCCATGTATAGTTGTATGCTGAATTTCGATAATCATTTTTCAAAGTAAATTTTTAACAAGAAAATCAGACGGTCGTTATAGCTGGATAGAATACTTTTACTATGCTACAGTTCCTTCATCAAATCAATGCATTAAAACGGGTATTACGGTGTGCCAATCAGCATATATTATTCAAATCGTCTAGACCCTATATGAAAATAATCAAATTTTATTTTTGATAGCACATTTAGGCCTCTTTCTATTTACCCCCCCCCCCCCCCTAGCTGCCTATATCCAGATTTCAGTTTGAACTTGGAGGATAATTTGTCTGTCATGTTTAGTTTTAAAAATAACATTACATAACATAACTAGTATTAGTGAGAAGTTCACAAGCACAAATCGGCGTCTTCAATTGCAACTCGCATTAAAATAGCCTGATTTTCGTAGCCGGACTATGCTTCCTACAACGTCGGCAAAAAAAAAAAAAAAAAAAAATGGCCGCCGAGTATTCGCCTGTAAGCCTGGGAGTGTACTTGAGTACCTCATCACACGGTTATGCACAGCCTTAACCGAGATGAAAGCATTTTCTTATTCTTCAGAAAAGGAGTGGAAATATAATAAAGTGACACAGACCTGCCAACCAGTACAATTTAGTCGTATTTCGTACGACTTTTAGAAGCAAATACGACAGTAGGATTTTCCTCAATATTCAAAAATAAAAAAAACAATGTTGTATTTTGTATTTTGTGTGTGTTTGCCATTTTCAATGGCAAAAATGCCCATTCTGTCCTGTAAAGTATCCTACAAGCATCTCATATCGGCAATTTGGGGATGTTCATTGCATCGTTTATCGAACACAACAATTATGCATATTCAACCAATGATCCATAACAAAAATTACTCCTGTATGTAGGAACTGTAAGAGGCATTGATCCGCGTAACAGTCCTGTTTATTTTTAAGAATACAACTTTTGCCAGTAAAATACAACTTTGGGGATTAAAGAATACAGTTTTTGAACAGGGGTTGTTAGGTCTGGACACATACAGTTGTACATGTATTTGAATTTTTTTTTTGTAATCTTCCTATTTGGCAAAACCACACACAGGAATTGATACTATTCGAGGCCTGTCACATATTAGTCAATTTCAAAGAAACCAAGAGGATTCTAGTTACTGTGATCTTCATAGGCAATCAATTGAATGTCATGACCAACTTGGTGTTTATGGCATAAATCCAAATGATACCACGCACATCAGTAATGTACAGGAAAATGAAGTACCCTAGGGTATCAGAGCAACCAGGGGCCCCTTCTAACTTCCTGTAGCAACAAAAACACTGGGAGGGAAGGTAAACAGAACATGAGAATAGAGAAAGAGAAAAAAAAGCTGAAAAATAATGTGGAATAAAGAGGGATAGACACTGATGTGGCAAATGAGAGCCGGCCACAGACAGATTGCACTCAAGGCTTCAATTGAAGAAGAGATGTCGGATGTACCTGTAATTCAATAGAAAGAGGAATTCTTGCTAAATATAAAAAAATTACCTGTACGACTGTACGTTACATTCAGACCCCATTTCAAATGCACTCTGGGAGAGTTTAGTGACCAATGCTTACAGTCTATTTTCGTGCGGCTGCGCTGTGCATGCCAACGTTGTTTGTGTGTGTGTAATTTATTTTCAGACAGCAATCACAGTGATTTATCACTATTTTCAAGTGATTTCAAGAGTGGAACACCACAAAAACTTAAGACAATATCGTTAAATATACTCAAATAAGATATTTGGATGTGTGATGGGCAAAAGCAAGTAGAAGCATAGAAATAATTATGTCAACTTTCTGTGGTTGTGTTTGTTGGCAGGTACGAAAAACATACTAACTAACTGATAAGACTACAATAAAGGGCTCACTGGCTCTTGGGATGACCAACTGACATACCAAGTTATAGTTATTCTAATGTTAAGCACGTTTTTTCTCAAAGTTTTGAGAAGGGTCTTTTTTTTGTTGTTGCTGCTGTCACAAAAATTGAGAAACCTAGAAATAGCTTTCAGACATGAACTTACTCACATTGCGCAGAGAATTGCTAAAACCAACTTCTCACACCCACAAATGCAATTTGCTCATCTTGAGCATTTCCTCCAATTCTTATAACCTACACTATTTATTTCATTCTCAGAACCTTGCATTTCCAGGAAGATGTGGAAGAGAAGAATATTTTTGTTGGCAATTACTCAAGGTTTACAAAAGTGTTATCATGGACAATTACCCAATGTACATGTATGTTAATCTAGTAATGCAATTGTATAAATAAGCTAGCTGTGCCAGAATGATAACAACAAGCCGATCATAATTTGCAAGCCTGCGTTTCTTTTATATATTTTGAAGTAAATCCTTTCCTCTTGGAGTCTTGGCTCATGTCCTCATACAACCAAGAAAGTCTTTTTGAAGTTATGGGACATTTAAAAAAAAGGGGGTCGAGTGCTGTTGTGCAAACTGTTAATAATGATATCTAAATTCTTGCTCTGTAGTGTGCATTATCTTGAAGCTGCTAAAAAATATGTCATTGTATTACATTGAGGTAAGGAATAAATTACTAATAGATTGGCTCCAAAAAAGGGTCAGAGCTGTGCCACAGCATAACCTCATATAGGCAGAAGACAAGTGAAGTGGTACACACGCAGCTTGCTCTATATGCACAAAGCCATTTTTATACCATCACCCAAATTTCCTCTAGGATACAATGTAATTCCTCAAAGCATTAACTGATTCACAGAGGGTTTTCTTTTGCTTGATGTTTTCACTGATATTTGAAATAATTACATATGTACACACCTTCATGTGATACTGTTTGCTGAAATTTCTAAAAAAAATCTCTAACCCTAAAGATATTTAGGGGTAGAGTTAGAAAATTGGTCTTGGATTTAGGTGTAGATATATTATTACATATTTATATAGGTCAGAGTTAAAAATATTGGGAATTGGGTTAGGGTAGAGAATTGACCTCACAGAAATTATCACTCCACGGAGCATCCTTGCAGACCCTAAAGAATCCTTGACTGGCATGATGTCCAGCTAGGTCAGCCTGTTGGGCGTTATTGTTTATAGGTGTCTGTCACAGCGTGATCCCTGTCATCTTAGGTTATTCATGAGAATACAGCGTCTTGCCACTTTCGTAACCCTTCCTTCTATAATTGAATGAATTTCCTTGACTGTCACTTCTGTTTGCCAAAGAACCTTCAGACTGCATCTCTAATCCCTTAATGCTTTATTTGTTTTGTTTTAATGGTTAGAACATTTGCCAAAGAATAAGAGGAATGTATATTTTTCTTCAGTAAAACCTTAGGTTCTTGGCAGAGGAATTGCATTTCTAGAGAAATTTGCTTAAAGGGCAATCCGACCTTTGTGATAAGTTGATTTGAATGAAAGCAAAAAAATAACAGAAACGGAATGAAAAAGTTTGAAATGAATATGACCAACAGTAAGGAAGTTATGAATGTTAGAAAATAAGAGATCACTAAGTCTATGCAAATCTCACATTGGTCAGTGGATTGTGACGCAGGGAAAAAATTAATATTTATTTTTCGGGGGCTACTTTTCAAGCTTGCCTGCATGAATGTAACATTCTAAAATTTGTTTTGCATTGAACTCTATGCAAATTTATGGGGGCTCTTTTCTGATTTTCGGGGGCTCTTTTGGGCATTTCGGGGGCTAATTCGCCCCGAGCCCCCGTGTATTTTTTTCACTGTTGTGACGTGGATTAGTCTCCCATTTGCTGTGTACAATAATATCATTAATTTCTGTTTTTCTTGTAATTTCCTTCTCTCTTGGTGCACTACTCAAAATATATTATGGAACGCATATTATTGTAGGTCTTCTAAAAAGAGTAGACTTTTATGAGCCATTGATTTTTGAATTTTAGTCATTTTATATGTTGGAACAGATGGGAAAGTAGTCTTCAGGCCTGATAATCCCGATTTAAATCGTTTTCCCGATTTTTTTCTGATTTTAAAAAATTTTCCCAATTTTTTTTTTTTTTCTGATTTTTTTTACCAGATTTATTCCCCCCCCCCCGATTTTATCCAGATTTTCCCTTATTTTCTTTATTCTTCTCTATTCTGCCCTATTTTTCCCAATTTTCTTACTCGGGGGGGGGGGGGGGGGGGGGGGGGGGTTGAGGGGGGAATTTTTTTTTTTTTTTTTTTTTTTTTTAGTGCTCACTTTCACCTCTTGCACTACATCACATTGACATTACCGCTTGAGCCAATATGAAGTGCTTATACGTATACCGGTAGTGATTACAAATTTTTTTATTTTTATGTATTGTCAGATTTTTCTGGTTTCTTTTAGACTAGTTGTCTATTTGGCTTGGATTTCTCTTTAAAGTACAAGTATTGTACAAGCAAAATGCGGAAGCTTTGACCACGTTTCATGCAATTATTAGAGAAAGAAGACGATTCGTTGTACCGTTCTCGACTCATAATCCTTGTCTTAATTTCAATAATTTCTTCGTCTGCTCCTTTTTCTTCCCTTTTTCTCTCTCTTTTTTGGGGGGCCAGCGGTTATTATTATTTTTTTATTTATTTTTTTTTTATTTATTTTTTTTTTTTTTGGGGGGGGGCGACTGTAGGCTAGATTTTAAAATCACCAAAATTTAGTATTAGAAAAAAAAAAAAACCCACAGAATCCCTCATGAGCTCTGTACCTCTGCGACTGATCTAATTTGAACCCTGTATTTGCACTATTGGTTGCAAACAAAGTTGTTTTTGTCCACTAGTTTGACCCAATATCACTCAATTGGTCAAATTGTGTAAATTTCATTATCCAATATAGATATCTTTGTTGAATTTTGTATTTGAAATTATTCAAGGGGGTTGTGTTTCTTTCACATCCCTCACTGTGAATTGAATGAGTCAGCCTGTTCATACATGGACATGTACCTTAATTTGATTTGCAGTTTACCTTGGAGACTATAGTGATCGTGGATGAGATTATGTTTTCGGGTTAAACTCTGCCCTCTAGGACAACATCAAGGATCATCAGAATGTCAGAAGACCAACAAGAAGAGTGTTTTATCTTCTATGGCATTGAGAAATTAGAGAACGAAGTAGTGCAGGTTATATGAACTGACAGAATAGTGTTTTGCAGTCAAGCAAAACATTATGCCCTCAGAGAATTGTCTTCCATGTACATGTAATAGATGTGAACCTCCAATCATGTGGAGCAACATTTACAGTACACTAGTCTGCATGTCTAGACATTAAATGTACAAAGTGTGTCAATTTTTAATTTTTTCAGGAGCTGTTTTCTGGATTTGCTCTTTTTAAATAAAAATTACATTTCTTTGCAGTGAGAACAATGATTAACATTTTATCTATTTATTTTTACCACAGCTCTTTTGGAGTTTTCCAGAGCTACATGTAAATTGCCCCTCCCCCCCCCATATTCTTTTTTCACTGAATATTACATGATGTAGGAAATGGATAGACAGTCCTAAATGAAACTTCATTTTTCCTGCCAACTCTGACTTCCTGACTTTTTATCCTCGTAATTTGTAGTTATTGAATAACATTCAGACTAGCTACATGATGTGTTCTTGTCCAATGTGATTTGATCATAATTTGATTGGATCCAGATGTTTGTGTATTGGGTTAAAGATAACAAAATCTGTACATATATATGAAAGGGGAGCTTACAGGTTCTGGAGGGCAGAGCTGCCAAATTTCTCTCAGTCAAGTTAATGCAAGATTGAGGTGGCTGTCACTTGCAACGTTGTAGCCACTATGTTTTAGTTAAACTTGCAACCCTCAAATTTCTATGACATGCCTTTTTGCATACACGTATCTATCCTATGGTTTGTTACATTGCTTTAAATTGAAGAGCTGAATGTGTTTGTATGAATGATCGGCCTTTGGGATGAGAAATAAAATCAAAGCTCAAGATAGCAAATGTTGAGATTTTTCCTTTAACATGTAAATTAGGACATCCTTGAATTGTTGCCAAACCTATAACTCTAAGCAGCTTCCAGACCTGCAAAAACCTGCTTTTATAATCAGCTGGAGATTTGGGACATAATGGGCAAATTATTCTGTTCTTTTCTCTAAATTAAGCTCTATAAAGCCATTTTCATGGAAGAAGAGTGGAGCAATGATTATGAAACATTGCAACAAGCTTGCCATGCATGAACCTTACTGTGTTTAGGTAATATAATATATACAGTGCGTCCCAGAAAAAACGAAACCGAAAAGTATCGATGTTTTATCAACAACAAAAAAAGCAGATTTACAAAAGACTCAACTCCGTTTCGTTTATTGATACGGCAGGCAGCCAGTGAAAACGAATTTGTTTAATAAAATTATGGAAATGCAAGCACTACTTTAAACAAACAGAACTTTGTCATTCCTCGCTCATTTTTCCTGATTGAGGTGTCGTATGAAAGGGCAGAAACTCAACTTTCTAGAAATGTGAATTTTTCTTCGAAATTCAGATACCGCCCCCAAATGTCTTTTTGGTTTCCTTCCTTCAGTTTGCTTTTAATCACTCATGCGTGAAATATGCATTACCTGAGTAGCATCACATGAAAGAGGAGACTAAGCTTTCCAAATATGTATCATTCATTAATTATAGTTGTGATTAAGTTATGATAGAACATCGATACTGCTTGGTTTCGTTTTTTCTGGAACGCACTGTATATGTCTTTAATTTTTATTATTAATCATATTATATTTTGTTAGATCATCTCTTTATAAAGATTTTACCCATCATTTAATGTAGCCCCAATCCCTTATCTGACAATTTAAAAAAAAGAAAAAGAAACTATCATGGAACTACTGATGTTCGGGATACATTGTAAAAGTGTAAAATACATAATATTTCAGGAGGTCTTGAATATATAGCCTGTTTTATATGCAGAATGAAAACCCCTAGTTAAGCTTCCCCAGCAAATAGTCTACAACTGAATATCACTTTTGTAATTGCAACAAAGCAAAATAAAGTGTCCAAGTGTTTTTGGCAGCATCATTAGTGGCATGGATCCTATGACCACAAATACATGCAAGTGCCTTAAAGATCAGTGTCGAGGGACATATTAGTATTCTGTGTATTATGAAATAGTCAATTATTATCCTTCTTTGTTGATCACCGACTAAGTATGACAAATCACTTCTTTTCATGTCTATAGGTTGTAAATCCTGGGACAAACAAGGTGATTACCATTGTGACTGGGGGAGGCGAGGCAGACATTGGCCCAGTCATGAATGCTACCTGTTCAGAGCTTCCTTCTTCCCCTGTACCTATGTCAATAACACTAGGGACAGAAGGTGAACTGGATGCAGAAAATATATGCATTGTTACAAGTGAGGAGATAGTCAATCAGGTATGCACTGGAAATGAGATTCCATCATAATAATAACAATTAGATCAATTTATATAGCACAGCTATTATATGAATATACTCTACTGCGCTATGATGAAAACAAAAATCCTAATAGTGTTACTTTACAGACACACAATAGAAAATAAAATAAATACTATTCAAAAGCTCCTGAAAACAAGTGCATCTTTAACAAAACTTTGAAGACAGCAACAGATGAAGCTTTTCTTAGGTCTAGTGGTAGATTATTCCAAACTAAAAGCTTTAGAACAGCGCAACTGAAAGCACAATCTCCAAGAGTTAATTTTGTTTTTGTGTGAGCTAGCTCATGCAGTGGTTCTTATTTGGAAATGTGTTGTAGCAGAGATTCAAGATGTAACCACTAGTGGATCTTATTTAGTAGGACTACTCATTATTTGTTGAAGGATTTGAAAAGGCAAAATGGTATTGGGGGGGGGGGGGGGCTTTATATAAAAAGTACCCCATAGCCTGATATATATGTAGCATGTAGCAGTTGTTATCATTTTCTTCCATTCTAAATTTGTGTGAAGGGTCCAGTCTGCATTAAACTCAATCTTCCCATGATTGCTGAGTTGTTGTAAAGGAAATTTGCTGAATTATGGTATTTGGAGAAAATATCACCAAAAACCTTTTACAAGACTTTAATCTATATTTGCCACTCTCCACCCTGGTAAAGTAAATGGGTTTCTGGTAGGTAGGAAAATGTCATTGAATCCTGGGGTTATAAAGGGATTTCCAGAGGATTTAATGTTGCCAGAAGTGGCTAGAAATATGGCTCCAACCTATCATATGTCCCATATGACATGTCATTTCCCCATTTATTTTAAAGGGAAAAAAGAAGAAAAGTACTTGTATATTAATTTGACTTTTATAAAATATTAGTGATACCAGAGAGAACCATTAGCCAATGGTCATATCAAGAATTTCATTTCTGGATAAAATAAATCAATGATTGTTTTATGCCATATGGGACAAATTGCATCGAATAACCAAAGATTAAACCGATCATGGACAAGAGATACATGTGCATGTACAGACTGTATTTGAGGTTTAAGTTTGGTTTTCTTTCTTTCCTTCTAAAAATTGCACTGTATCTTTGTGTAGAATGCCTGCTTGAGCACTTGCTAGGACCATAGAATCAGCACTTATATTATGTTACAAATTATGAATTACGGCAATGGGGATCATATGTGGAATATTTCTCTCAAAGGAATAATGATATTTCCACCTCTGCATGCTTCTACTACCAAAGGAGCAAGGGGGATTACAAGTTCCCAAATGTTTTTTAGCTGTCACAAGTAACAAATCTCAAAATCTTGGCACAATGAACTTCAGACTACGGTTCTAGGACGCCTATCCCCTGGACATCCACCCCCAGATAACCACCCCAGTCAATTACCCCTTAGGACAACTACCCCTGGAAAACTATCCTACTATTGTCCGGGGGAGGGGGGGTAGTTGTCCTAGGAGCTAGTTGTCCTAGGGGGTATTTGTCTGGGGGTAGTTGTCCGGGGGGTAGTTTTCCGGAAGGTAGTTGTCCCGGGGGGTAGATGTCCTAGGGGTAGTTGACTGGGGGTGTTGACTGGGGGGGGGGGGGTGGTTATCCGGGGGGAGGGGAGGGGTGAATGTCCAGATACGTCAGACTACATGTAATGATTTGACTTTGGTTTTGATTTGTGTTGCTAGCAACAGATTTGTGTTTTTCCCCTTTGTTCTACAGGTTGATGGTATTGAGGAACTTGAAGCTAAACAAGATACAGATGAAGAGCAGAACCTAATACATGTAACCGATATTACAACTGATAGCCGATGAAACTTATGATGTAGAATGCTGATGAACATTCTTGGAAAGTTGTGTCTGTATGAAAGCAATTCCTCTGGACTTGAGGGACAAGAACTCTTAGAAAGCCAGTGTACAATGAGAGTGATGACGTTGTTTTCTGAATGCACAAAGCATCTGGCTATTTCATCAGAGCAAACTGTTCATTCAATCATCACTTTGTAGCAGCCATTGTTTTTAAAGAAAAATAGAACGGCATACACCATTCCATTGAGAAACTTAATGAATATTTCCCATGAGGGAATTCATTGCGAACAAGGATGAAAGCTACATGTAGTCTAAAGGCAGAGACTCAACATGAGGAAGGCAGTTTCACATGGTCGACTAGAGCAGTGGTGTGCCAAATGTGATCAAGCATCTCCAATATCTGAAGCCTCTTCTCTTTAGAAACAGACCAAGATCTACCCAGATGTAGTTTTTCTTCAGTGTTCAAATGCTGATTTTAAACTTGAAAATGCTTGTGAGACTGACCAAAGTACTACATCTGCTAACCAGGTGGCTGGGTGGTGAATTACAGCCCCTTAAAAGGCCTTGTCAGATGTAGCCCTGATTGTCCTTGATGTTTGAAGACCTGGTTGAAGGTAGCGGGTCAATACCCAGAGGAATCTTTTATTGTTTTGATGACCTCTTAAAACATGGACCAAGGGTTGGTGACATGTATTGTTATAAATGCCAGAAAATTGTGTGAATCCCTGTAGGGAAATCTTACACCGGGTTATAATAACAGTAAACAAAATTGAAATTGAGAAATAGACAAACAAGTTGGAAACTGGTTAAAAGGGCATGGGAAAACAAGATAATAGGATAGAAATAAAGTAAGAAAATCATTCCACTTCCATTTTCAAACTCTATATTTACGTGGGATATTGCAGTTTTAGTCTGATGGGTCAAGCAGTTTCTAAGTTCATTATTTGGATGACCATTATTTACAAGTTCAAATTTAGAGTAGACAGTTTTTCCCTTTTTATTTAAATGAAGAAACAAATCTAGAGAAAATACCACCCCCCTTGTGAAAAGCTAAAAGTCTAAATGTAATCTGCAATTCTTGATAAGAATGTCTAATTGGTTTGTCATTTTCTAATTCATCAGCTGGAATTAAAATGTTAATTTCTGTGGACTCCGCCTTTCTGATTATTTCAGTTTGTAATTTCTATTGATTTGGACATACAAGTACATGTATGCTCGTAAATGCATCGTCAGTGTATTATTACATTTCAATTCAATTCATTTCAATATTGCTTATCACAAACATGTACTTGTGTCTAGTGCATCATTCAAATTGAAAGTTCATATTTGAAACAATATTGAAACTTAAATTTTAAAGTGATTGTTCAAATATGGTAATTACATATACTTGTATCTTAAAGGGAAGTCCACTACAAAAATAACTTACTTTCAATAGAAGCAGAAAAATTAGACGAACCAATCAAAAAAGTTTGAGCAAAATCAGATAACTAATAAGAAAGTTATGAATTTTTAATGACATGAAAAACTTTGAAAATCACTAGACAAATTGACAACCCACTCATGACTCTGTGACGTCATTTCCTCACTATCCACTAATTATTTGCTTTATATTGATAACATAAATGTCCTATTTTCTCCCTAAGAATCTTATTTCTTCACGCCAGCATCCAAGTTAGATTGATAGTAATATGTTTTTGTGTGGATCCACTAATATAGAGTAATTTTTTCCAGTTTAATCATTAGAAAAATGTGAATTTTGATAAACTATTTATATAAAAATCAATAATTATGAATATACAATATTCAGAAAAAAGTATCAATTATTCAAAGTTTATAAAAGATTTTGTGAAATGTCATGCACGCAATATGATACAAATCATATAACCTGGGCAAAGGCATGGGAAATCAAGTTTTGGGGGATAAAAAGGGAAATTAATGGGATCAAAATATAAAGCAATTGATAAATACCGGTAGTGAGGACATGACGTCACAAACTGATAACCAAATTGGCAATTTGTGAAGTGATGTTTTTATTGTTCCATCGTTTTACATACTTTTTCAAATATTCATAACTTTCTTATTAATTATCCGATTTTGCTCAAACTTTTTTTGATTTGTTTTCCTGATTTTTCTGTTTCTATTGAAAGTAAGTTATTTTTGGAGTGGACTTGAAATTTAACTTGTCAAGTTTTTTTGTCTAGTGTGTTGTATATTTTATTTCGAATGAACTACAAATATTTATTTATTGAGCATAATGTGAGCTTTTTTCTTGGTAAAGTTCTTCTTAAAAGCCTTCTCAGCATTTGCACTCATGCCTCTCATGAAATCATTATCCTAAGTTGACAAATCCCTTTCCTGATGTAGAGTCAAAATATATACTTGACTGTCATTTTGAACATTTACTCCCAACCTACCCAGCATAGTAACACTGGGATATGTTACAAAAAATTGTGCATTCACATTGAAGGTCATACTTTCTAAGCAGATAGCATATATAATGCAGTAGTTCAAAATGAAAACTGCCAAAACAGTTCCAATGCCCCCCCCCCCCCATTCCTCATTCAATAGAATAATCATGATCCTGCAGCAAGTTCAGTGTGTACATGTACCCCTAATTGAAAATTCAATCGTAAAGTTTAGACCAAGAATTTACATTGGGAAATTTATCATATATTCTGTACCAATATTCCTGAAACCTGACAAAGACATAAACTTTAAAATACATGTATATGGTGTTATTATTATAAATGGCTTATCTCCACCACCTCAATCTCCCCCTACTTGCAGCAAGCTAAAGATGACATGATCCCTAAATTTCTACGCCTATCAAAAAAGTCCTCCCCTTTCTCCTCAATCAGAATCAACTGGTGCATTTTCATAAAGAAGGGGTGTGAAAGCAAGTTCTGGAATCTAGAAATGTGATAGGAACGGTGCTCTCACCCCTGAGTAGGTTAGTGTAAGAAAACATCTGGTATGATTATTGGTTAGGGGTGAATGTCAATTGGTTCAATCAGTGAGTGCTGTCCCCCTAAGCTTTATGTCATTTTGTATTGATATTGATTGCAACCTGGGTGGCTATCAGCTCACTTTTCCATTCCTCTCGATCAAATAGGGTCATGCTATTCAGATGATAAAAGCAGTTTAGCCCTTAGTGTACCAATATGATATAATCTCCTGATTCCTCAACTATTATTGGGCAAGTCCAAGGAATTAGGTCATTGCTTGTCTGGTGCATTTCAAAGTATTGTGGAATTATTTGTAAAGAATAAAATAAATGTTGAGCCTATTACTCTCTGAGATATTTGGTCTGCTTCCAGCTACAATAAGGCTATTAACTTAATACAATCACCAGGTACATGTATACTGACATCTGGACAAGGTTGGGAATTTATAGGACAAATTACCTTGGAATTGCATAATTAACTGTCTTGAACTGTTCTGTACCTTTCTTTCCAAACACCCTCATCAGACTAATGATTACAACAAAGAATATTTCTTGTCAGATGGTCACACAGCAGCATAATATATTGCTGTATAATCTGATCATCTTAAAGATATAGACCAGATTGGGAAACACCCCCCTCTCAAAAAATGAAATGGAAGCTCTTATTACCAATCATGTGAAAGAATATGTTTTGACTAATACGTGATGATACAAATTTTGAGGGGAAACCGCCTACTAATTGATATATTTGGTAAATTATCATATTGATCTGGCCTGGATAGATATAGCAAATGCACTTCAACATTGAATATTTGGGCATATTCCTGTTTTTTGCGAATTTAGGTTGAAGTATTGCTATCTAAAACTCTGAATGCAATATTTTAACAATATTGAATGGATATTTTGCATCTAAACCCTTGAATATTTTGCACCTAAAACCTTGAACTGCAATTTTTCCACTACCGGTCTACATGTATATCTTTAAGTTCATTTTATTTCCTGCTTTTAATACCCAATATATTTTCCAATATCTTATTAGTTTATGTAAATGCTATCTCTAAAATCAAGTAATTATTCTTTTTGCTACATTGTATGTTGTTGGAAAAATTAGTACATGAGGAATACATTGAAAGTGCTATTCAATTGGTATTGGAGATGAGAACATTATATAGCAATTTCCTAAGATCAAATTGTAAGGAATTTGACATTTACTGTATGTTACTGTATCTAATACAGATTTTAAATGCCAGTACATTTAATTGTCTCTTGTTAATTGTTCATGTCTTCATAATGATGGATGAATTGACAGTAAATTTATCACTTGAACTTACTACAGAATTTCATAGTCAAAGTTGGAAATAATAAATCCTAATATTTCTTATATTCTGTTTCACTTGAAAATGTTTCATTATGTTGATAAAGTTCAGAAGAGAGATAGAGAAAGAGAGAGGGGGTGGGTTCATACACAGAACTTGTGTTCATAATAGAGAACATGAAGACACTACAAGATTATATTTGTAACTGCTCAAAATAAAGACCAAGATTAATTTCTTCTAGTCTATAACTTGATGCAATTTTGAGTTGTTGAAAAGATTGAGATGAGTGAGATAGAAAGTGAGTGGGGATGTGTCTGGGAGAAAGAAACTGAGAATGTGTGTGAGAGAAGAAACATAGTGGTTATACCAAGAGAGAGAGAGAGAGAGGGGGGTATAAGATGCTATTTGTAAGCATTAACAAATAAAGATAGAAAGTCTTGTTGAAATTTATTCTGAAGAAAAAAAATATCTCGGTAGACAGTCAAGTATTTAAGTTCTGTAAATAACATTTGGTTTCATTGCTTTAAAACAAAAATACATAGGACAGACTTTCAAGTTTCAAGTTAGTGATCCAAGTTTCAGTTTAGCAAGATGAGAAGTAAACAATTATTTTAATTGTTTTGCTGAAATAATAATAATAATACAATATTTATATAGCGCAAAATAATCTGGATTGCTAAGGTCAACAATGAAATAAATGCTTCAATTATGGTATGCTGAAGTTCAAGTAATGAGATTTGGAATGTGGGTACGATGGAACAGGTGTGCTTTCTCGAGCTTGAGAATATAATAGCACCAAGTCTTTATTTCTCCCCCAATCCTAATGTTGGGAAATATTATAGTAATAAATGTCCCACTGTGAGCTGAATTGCATGGCCTTAGATTCATGTTTGCTTTTAATATTCAGTTTATTGATTCTCATATTTCGCTTGCCTATTGGGTCAAGAAGCTATTTGACGGTCTGTATTTTATGGAAATTTGTTGTGAGTTCATATTGATTTTGATAACCCCCCCCCCCCCCCCCCAGAATAGAAGTGTGTACGTGATCCAACTTTTGCTACGACAACATTTGCTTTAGGCTTGATTTTGTCAAAGATATAGTTTAAAGGCAGTAGGTTCATGGTTAGTTTAAGGATTGCAATTGGGGGTTCGTTAGGTTAGATATCGTGTAGGGGTTGGGGTTTGGTAATAGTGTTTTGTCCAGGCAGTGGCGGATCCAGGGCCCCCCCCCCCCCTGGCGCTCAAGGGGGGGGGGGGTGCAAATTGAAATTTTTTTGAGGATCAAAAAAAAAAATGTGCTCACATAAATTGCAATAATAAAAGGACAACAAAAGTACATTTTCGTTACTGTTTAGAGAGAATTTTTGTCTTTTCTCCCATTGTACATTTGATCGATCACAATTTTGATATAACTGTATCCATTAAAAAAAAATCAATATTATATTCTAACTGAGATTTGAAAGAGCACTTTTATCAAGGTTGTTTTAATTTTTAATTTTCCTTTAAAAAAAAAAGAGAAGTGCGTAAGTGTACATTGATTGAATACTCCTTATGATCAGTTGTACATCGTAGTTTATTGATACAGTGTACAGTATTGTGTTTGAATGATGGACATTTGAACACATGCCTTTGTATGATTCTGAAGGAAAATAGACCTGAATATGAGTAACTCAAGAAAGTACAGGCTTAGATTTGCCAAGCGTATATCCTGGGAGGAAGTCTTGGTGATACATCACCAGATGTGCCATCCACAATATGTGGCTTGGTATCCTTTTATGGTCATCCACTTTTCTCTGTTTGAATATATCAATTACCGGATCAATTATCATATAGGATGACAAGAAGAAAACCATGAAAATGTTCATGAACTCCCAAGGACACATAGCTTAAGAGCGAAGGCGCTGGAACTGCATGCGCTTTTATTCTGTCTCCTATAAAAGGAGTGAAAGATTGGGTATACGTGAGTTGGGGGAAATCAGCTGATCGGTTGCACCTGTGCTATCCGTGAAAGGGACAGGTCAACAAGTTTACGGACGACTACATTTCCTTAATAGGGGGTATGCAATTAAGTATATCCTCATGTAAAATATAATAGTAGAAAATCCCCTTAAAATCTCTCTCCGATGCCTTTAAATAAATTTTCAATAGCTATCAATTCGGCAATAGTGCTCGACATTATAAGTTTAATGTAACTGTTGGGGGTATATTTTCCCAGCTCTGATCCCTTTGTTTAATTTACCCCATCCAACATACAAAGTCCGTCAAAGGAGCTGGGAGGTTTCATTCCAAACATATGGGCCCGAATTCACAAAGGAGGTTTGTCGACAAACCTTGGTTTTCGTACGTCATATGACGTGTTTTACGCGATTTTTTACAAACCTGGTTTGTAAAGAACAAAAGGAGGTTTGGCGAAACAAAAGGAGGTTTGAGCTCAAACCTTGCTTTGTGAATTCGGGCCATTGGGATTCGAACCCTGATTCGGGTAAAAAAAATATATATATATATATATATATATTCAAACAATATGATATACAGAGTCATTTACTTATACTGGGAAAATAAATGGGCACACGAGACCACACACACATTTGGCATAAAGTTTGCAGCTATTTCCTGTCATATTTTTAATATATGAGCAACTTAACTTTTGAAGAGTAAACCTTTTTAGCGAACAAGTTTACTATATTGTAATTACAAACTGACATCCAAAGAATGGGATTACAAATTATTCTTCATATTTTTGTTGTCAAAACTCAACATTCCCTTATATTTATTGTCCTAACCCTAAAATATCTTTTCTAAAATATTTTTTCCACATAACAAAAGCAATAGGAGATTAAAAAAAAAAAAGGTAAAAAAAAGATTGTTGCAGCAAAGACATTTGACAAACTGAGTAATAAGGCTTATTAATCGAAACACAAACGTTTCAGGACTATCATTAAAACATATTCACGTCGCTGTTTTCACGAAGTGACGGTAGTGAAAAAAAATTGCATTCACTTTGCGTGACGATTTTCCTCACTACCGTCACTTCGTGAAAACAAGGACATTTTGTTCTGAAAAAACAAAGTATCCCACGATCTCACCTGTCTTTATCCCAATGTATAATGCCATAAATAATAGAGATTGTTTTTTGGAAATGCCTGAAGTTCAACATCATTTAACCTCGGGCCTAACAGAGGTCACACAGAACTGGTGCAAGTTCAATCCATATAAACCTCATTGGAATTAAAACTCTCATTTTTGTAAATACACTCAAAGATAAGTGAACAAAGAAAGAAAGATTTTTAATTTCATGAGCAGTAAGTAGAGTTCATAACTCACTTACAAACCACATTTCGGGGGGGGGGGGAGTTAAGGGGAAAACGGTCCGTTCATTACTATCCGGCATAAGTCTTCTGAACTTTTATATACAAATTATTTGTCCACCTTTGAAAGTTAATTATTTTGCCACGGAATTATATCGCACACAAAGGTCTATATCTTAAAATCACTTATAAGGAATAAGGAAGTTTCCTTTTTCCCTTTTTTTTCATGGCTACATACAGCTGCATAGCAGTTGGTTTACAGCTTTGTAATGAGAAAGGGGGAAATGGCGGTGTGAGAAAGAGAGAGAGAGAGAGGGGGGAGGGGGGGGGGGCAACACTCCCTCATTACAAACAAATAGACACACCCGCATAGAGTAAAGGGAAATCCAACCTTGATAGTAAATTTCTCTATAAGAAAGCAGAAAAATCTGAAAAGTATATTAGTGAAAGTTTGAATGAAATCGGACAAAAAATGAGAAAGTTATTATTTTTTTTTAAAGTTGCAATCTCTAGGTATGGGCGCTTCAAATTGACTGAATCGATAATGTCTATGTGATTTAATGGCGGACAACTTTCCCATTTGCTACAGCACACAAAATAGAATAGAATAGAATATTATTATGTATTGTCTTCTTCCAAAACAAAAGAAGAAACTTTCCTTCCAGGTGAAGCATATTACATGAAATCACATAACTTTAAAAAAAAATTATAATATAACTACGTTCATATCAAAATATGAAATGCATAACAATTATGAATAGATAAGTAATACTTACATATAATACAAATTACATAGATCATAAGGATAAAAGGTAGAAGACTAGAAGGAAGAAATAGAGAAGAATATAGAATGAGGGTATTAATGAGATAGCCCCGGAGAAAAGTAACTCCAAAAACCGACCCCCCCCCCCCCCACCCACGGGCTTCACTCAAACAAGTACGAAGAGATAGAGACTAGGGAGAGAAATCGAATGAAGGATGGAAAAGAAGAAAGGAAAGTAACAGAATTAAAAGAAGAAAGGAGAGAAAGAGATGAATTAGAGGAAGAAGAAGAAGAAGAGAGAGAGAGAGAGAGAGAGAGAGAGAGAGTCAGGAGAGAAAGGAAAGAGAGGGAGAAAGTATAGCATATAAATTAAAGCAATTATTACTATTAGTTTATAGATTATACTTTAGTATACTTTATTTGCAAATGAGTGTTTTCTTTTCTCATCGTGAAATCAACACTGTCGAACAAAAACTAAATTCGGAAGTGCCAAAGTTGACTTTATGGTTTAGAAGTAATGTGCTCTCTTTCAATGTTCTTTAAAAATATAAAACATTTTGAAGTAGAACATCTAATGACAACCTTGGGTTAAATATTAAACTGGATGATATTTCTATAGAGATAAAGACATGGACAAAGTTCCTTGGTGTCTATATTAATGAAAAACTTGACTGGAGCATATGCAGCAACCATGTAAAACACATTGTTACACCAATCTCCAGAGATATTGGCGTACTATATAGAATTTTAAAAAATGTTACTGATAGAATATTACGTATGCTATATAATAGTCTAATTTCACCACATATCTCCTATTGTATTATTTTGTGGGCAACATCCAAGTGTGTGACAAATAATATTCTTCTGCTGCAAAAGAAAGCTGTACGCATAATGTACCCGAGCTGGTTATTGTGACCAACTGACCATGCTGCCCCACTATTTGTTAAACTGAATTGGTTGATGATATTAACTTCCTCCAAATTGCCCTATTTACGTTCCGTTTCAATATCAAATTGTTACCTACGTCATTATCTTCAATGTTCCAACCTAATGAGATGGTTCACTCATATTCAACAAGGTAGTCATCGAATTTACATGTGGTCGATCCTTACACTACATCAGCCCAGAAATCAATCAGACATTGGGGTCCAGATGTATGGAATTCTCTACCTAACAATATTCGAAATATAAAACCACCAAACTCCTTTAAAAGAGCATTTCACAGATGTCAGATGTTACTTACATACTGTATAAATCTATATATCAGTTCTCATTATATCAAACATAAATTTAATTCTCTTATGATCTATATAAGACATTTTACTAGACTTAACAATATTCTTCTTTTCCCCCTTTTTTTTCTTTCTTGTTCTTTGTCAGTAGTTCACAACCCTTTTAGGAATTTTATTTGCCATATATTTTATATGTGAAAGGGTGTTGTAACGATTAAAGCTCTATTTGCTTATGTTTCATCACCTTTGTGTGTTCATTATTTAAACTATCACAGTGCAACTTGTCTTTGATAAAACATTGTTATATTCGTTTTCATGTGAAGTTAATTCAAATGGATTGTAAAATTGAATATGATGTGTTATGTTATATTCTTTTTCATGTGATTTTAACTCCAGTTAATTGTGGAATTGTGAAAATACATAAATAAATAAATAAATAAATAGATATGAAAATTTAAAAAAGGTTAAACAAGTTATTGGGAGGGCATGCAGCTTCACTGCTGCTCGGAGGAAAAGTACACAAAGTAAAATGACTAGAATTTTTTCAAGAATGTATAACTCGGGATGGTTCTTTATTTTTAGAGAACCTGAATTAAATATACTCTCCAGAATATATATTGATTAGTGCCCCAAGGATGAAGGCAAATGGGCAAATTACTGCAATAAAAATTATTTGTGTAAACGACAAACGAAAGAGTAACCCGTTAGTACATGTACGTCACAATCAACTAACAAATTTGCCAATTCGAAATTCGCATATAGCTGTAGTGATCTCATACTTCAAACATTCATAACTTCCTAATCATCATTGGTTTGAATTATTTTAAACTTTCGCAATTCGGTTTCTCTGATTTCATTCAAATTAAATTATTCCGAGGGTTGGATTGCCCTGAAAGATGCGTGTACTCATTACTCAAGGTCAGTCTCTGTTACGTAATCCGCTAATTTCAATCACAAACTTATCGGTAGGCCTATGTACACATGCATAGTGAACAATGAAGAGTTTTATTGACTAATCAATGAGCTAAATTGTTGTATTGTAACATGGAATTCTTAGTTTATAAGGCCATCATTACATTATGTACATGACTCTGTATCTCATATTGTTTGAATATTATGTTTTTGTTGACTTTTGAGTTTTTTACCCGAATCCGGGTTCAAATCTCTGCGAAAACACGAGCACGTTCTGGGAATGAAAACTCCCCGCTCCTTTTGACGGACCTTACCATTGATAAGTTCGACGGGGTAAATTAAACGGAGGGGTTAGAGTTTAGAAAATACACCCCTTTCAGTTACATTCAATGTATAATGTCGAGCACAATTGCCGATTTCATAGTTATTGAAAATTGATTCAAAGGCATATGAGAGAAATTTAGGATAATTTTCTGCCATTTTATTTTACACAAGTGTATACTTTCTTGCGAACTCCCTAAAAGAAATGTAGTCGTCCATAAAACTTGTTGACCTGTCACTTTCACGGATAGCACAGGTGCAGATAATCAGCTGTTGTGATTGATTTCCTCCAACTCACGCACCGTACCGGATACCCAAATCTTTCACTCTGTTCGGATACAGTCAAGGCGACAGGATCAGGACGGGAGCAGTTCCAGCTCCTCAGCTCTAAAACCAACCCAACATGGAGGTCTCTAAATTTGGACTAATATGGGCCATTGTTCTTATATCCATGATTGTGGCAGTGCAGGGGCAGAGGAGTAAGTAGTACTGACTGTGTGTTTTTATTGATCAGCTTCGTTTTAACCAGGGAGATGTGAGGAGCCGGGAGCTCCCTGGTTTTAAGTTTACCGATCACTAACTCCAGGAAGCTCCGACGCATCGGCATCGGCGTCGGAGCTTCCTGGAGTTAACCGATCACAAGATAATTCCACTAGGCCGTGTTACTAACACTGCACTTTACACAATGACTGAGATATAACCCTCAGTAAAATCAATTGTCTTCCCCTCTTGACTCTCACTTTGAACATGACAGACAATGAAAGCGGACAAAATATACAGTTCCTCAGGTAAACAAAGGGACATCCCTTCACTGCTATTATGTAAAAATGTGTAGAACAGGTGTCACATGCATATTCACCTGTTCTACACATTTTTACATAATAGCAGTGAAGGGATGTTCCTTTGTCTACCTGAGGAACTGTATATTTTGTCCGCTTTCATTGTCTGTCATGTTCATAGTGTCTAGATCTTGCTTGATCTAGGGCTAGGCCTTGGATTTTATAAAACGTTACAAATAAAGTGTAATCTAAATGACATTTGTATATACATGTGTAAATTTACTGTACCTCTACTCTAGCTGTTAATTTGTTATGCCAGGGGCCAGGCATGTAGCAAGGGGGGGGGGGGCAGTTGGGGCGGTCCAACGAATCATCTTCTTTCTCTAATAATTTAATGAAACGTCAAAGCTTCTGCGCTTCGCAACTCCCCCCTCCCTGCACCCACCCCCCTATCTATCTTTTTGCCAAGGGGGGTGTTTGACCCAGTGGCGGATCCCCACCCTAGATCCGCCCCTGTATGTCAATTATTATTTTGATCTGTGATGATTAAAGCAGATCAAATGCTAAATATAAGAAGAGAGACTATAGTGTGACACAGTCTGCAGCTCAAGTCGAGACAAAAATTCATAGAGATTTACCTGTCTTCTTTGGCTTGCAAATTGCAAATACTACCTAGTACCCTACATTGTAAGGTCCATTTATTCTTAAATATTTGCAGAGATAAAAAAAACAGAATAACAAATTTGAATACTGATAAGTAAAATCATTAATAAAACAAATTTCACATTTTAATTGGACAAAAAGTATTTTTGATAACAATGCTGTCGAGGCAATCCACAGCATTTGTAGATTTTTCGTTGATCAGTTCAGATATGAACACATTAGAGCAGCAAGGCCTGCAGGCTGCAGGGAGCTAGGAACTTCTTTCGTCAGTGCACTGGGGGCCTCCCTATAGCCAAAATATGACCTGCCCACCATGCACCTGAAACAAATTTTTTCTTGTCTATCAAAGATCTTAGCTTTTAAATTATTATGCATATTAAAGCAGAATATGTGATAATTGTTTTGAAAACTATTTCTGCTTCTTATGAATTTACTTAGTTTTGGATATATTTGACATTTTCTTTTTTTCTCTTGTAAGTCAGTTTTTATCTGTACTTCCATGTCATGCCCCCTCCCTCCGCCAGATAGTTTGCTAATGTAGTCACACTATTTTGGTCAACAAAGTAAACTAAAATATAGATACCGGTATCTGACTCTATGTTTGACGAACAGTCCCGGCCCCCCCCCCCCCACTCCGAGAACGGACGGACCCCATGCGTGTTACCAAAATGTCCTTTCGTAAAAAAAGAAAAAGGTCGACCCGTATTGACTTTACACACCAGACTTTTGTTGAAAAGGGGGGGGGGGGGGGGTGCTGAAAAAGGCTTGTATAACAAAAGAAAAAGGTTGACTCGTATTGACTTTATACACCGGACTTTTGCTGAAAAGGGGGGGTCACTTGGAACACCCATATGTGTACCCTAAATAACACTGAGTGGGGGGGGGGGGCCTGATTTATGGCCTGCCACCTTTCTTCTACACTTTCAGACACACTCTCTTCTGCTCTCTATCACCATTTCTCTCTCTCTGCTCATCTAACACCTCAAACTCCTTCCTGGCATAAGTCACACTCGCACCACTCTAGCTCTTTAAAAACTTCAAAGAACGTAGGCGAGCCGGAAAATGTCAAGACTGGAATTAATCGGGAAGAGAAACATTCATCTCAGCTGAACTGTCTATGAATTCCAGCAAAACAACTATTGTTTGGTCATTCACAGCAGTTCTTCAATTCTTCAATTATCTTTAAGAATGTTACAAACGCCTGCGTTGTCACCCAATCACAGTCCAACACGCCAGCTTGACACAAAAAACTGGTAACTGAAAATAACTTACTATGAAATGTGAATATGCGAGAAGGCAAACAATTTTTTTATCTAAACAAAAAACAAATCACAAATTTCGACCGGTTGCATTAATATAACCAAGTCAAAAGTCAAGCAGAATGTGTTTTCAGTCTGCATTTGCATGTTGCTTCTTTTAATTCATGTCTTGGATATTGCTTAAAAGATACTTTCCATTTTTTACTCTGGTCTCAACATTATGCAAGATGTAAACAAATAAGCACACCAACAAATATTTTTTTTAAAGATAGAAAAAAGGTGCAAATTAATAGCCCTGCATGGAATTAGGATGGGGTATTCTTATTTTTTTGCATTATTGCTATTATTGCATTTATGCTGTTCAATTTATTTCATTTTCTTCATATAATTTTTTTGGTGGTGATGATGTTGGGGATGGGGGTTACGTTTTTAATCAGAACCATACAAATTTCATGGTGATGCAAGTATGAAAACTTGCAATTTTTAGTAACATGATAACAATCAAATTATTCTTAATCTTTCTATTTTCATCCTGATTTCATCATTCATGTAGTATTTATGGTAGTTGTTTCTTCAACGTTCAGAAGGTCATCTTTCAATTGATATAAATAACTCTTGCAGCTCCGAGTCGACATAGATTTTTGTTTTTTAAAACAGATTTAGCACTTATATGCACACCTGAAGCACAAAAACGTTTTGAAAGAACTCGTTATTTCAAACCGCACTGCAATTAGTGAGGAAAGTACCATGAAGGGGTCCAGATTTGTTTGTTTTCTATAAAGTTCAGGATGCCCAAATCATCTTAAAGGTGAAATTCAAAGAAGATCACAAATACGTCAACTAATGTATTACTAAAAACTGGTAAGCTAACAGATGGCCATCGTACAAGTTTTAGGTCAACTACAAATCGGGTGATTTATAAAAATACAAATACAACCACCTCCATAGCAGCTGGGATATACAAGAGATTCACCGGAAAAATAACGATGTTTTAATGACGTCACTATATGGACCAACACTGCCCAAGCAGACAACATCCCATAGAGAATGAACATAATTGCAAAGCTATTATTTCTCAAATAATGAGTTTAGTGTATATAACTGTAATGGCATGTCAAACCATTCAAAAGGGGATTGTAAATACACAGGATAGGGGTTAATAAATAATCAAAGAAACCAGACTTTCAAATTGAAAACCCCCCGGAATGATATTAAGGATGGCATTTCTTCCCTGTTGAAACGCCGAACATACCCCGGTGTGTGCATCTGAATATACACTGTACAATGACGTCTTCTTTTGTTTACAAGCGACAGATTCCTTTATTTTTGTATCGCTGCATTTGTCATCAACACAGGGGCGTACGCAGGGGGGGGGGGGATTTTGGGGGTTCAAACCCCCCCCCCCCTTTGGTATTTTTATGTGTGTAAACCCCCCTAAAAAAAAACTAAAACCCCCCCTTTGTTTTTTGTTGTTGTTGTTTTTTTGTTTGTTTTTTAATAAAAATAAAAAAATTATGCCCACGGCTAACATAAAGTGACCTTACCCCCCCCCCCCCCAACGAAAAAAAATGTCAAATTTTCAAATTTCGAGACCAAAAAAAAAAAAAAAAGTGTCCGCTAACCCCCCCCCACCGAGCGATTTTCAAATTTTTGGGAGCAAAATATTTTGGGCCAGATTTTAAAACCCCCCCCCCCCCCTTGAAAAAATCCTGCGTACGCCCCTGCATCAACATAAAACCATGCGCGGGGTTTAGCCTTGTCGAATCAAAGTTTCAACTTTGCAATAATGAAAATAAAGTTACTTTTTAAAATCGATGTGATGCCTCTTCCATGTTTCTAAAGAAGTTCAATTTCAGTCGTGGAGTTAAGAGAATTCAAGTTGTGCACCGGATCTTAGGAATGTGAGTGAGCATGGCGTGCTGTCCACTGTGGTTCACCTATTTGATCCCAGTTAGTATCTCAGTAGTCCATTGTATTCTATTCTTTTAGCATTGGTAAAAAGATAAATTTTGTAGGCCATGTCAGCAGATTATATGAAGAAAAAAACATGAAAATCAAATTCAATCACGTGCCATGAAATAAATGCATGTGGAGTGCGCCTAGACATGTGGGTGACACCTTGACCTCAAACATGTAGTAGTAAATTGTGGCATTGGTTCCATCAGAACTGAGGTAGCGAATGAATGTACCTACATGTAAATAGATCGAAACTTTGTAGCTTTGATTACTAAAGCTGCCATATTGATTGAAGCCAAGCATCTTAGTTTAAGAATAAGAATGTTTTACCAATGTGAACCAATTTAGGAACTCTGGACAAACTTTTTGTCCGTACTGACACATCAAATGAAGAAATCAACACCAGAAATCATATAATTTTCAAGCATTTGTATGTACGCATTGTTTTTCATGGATTATTTATCAGTTTCATCATTGTTATTACGACCATGTACATTGTAGGAGCTCAAATTCGGAATAGTACAACAACGAAAGACCCACCTCATATTGCAGCTCTTTCCTCTTCATATTTGCAGTGTTTAAGAAATGATAGTCATTTTTTTGAGAAAGTTTGTGAACTTTAATACCAGTAGGTGGAAACTGTTATAAACCCTTAAGTGTTAGAACAGTTAACAGCAAAATTATTGATACCCTTTCCAAGTTTTTTTAATTTATTAATTTGTGAAATATTGATTTGTCTCAAGGTATGTTTCTTGAGAATGTAACATATTGAAGCTTTCATTTAAAAGTATTCATCAAAGGTCCTTATTCAACCAGTGCACTTTTCTTTCTTGAGTTACGAAAAGAAAAGAAGAGAAATAAAATTTACAAGGTACACACTATACTCCTAAATCATTAGCTGGCACTAAATTTGAGGAATTTTGATAGTTTTCCACTCTTATAGCTTAAAAGAACAAATAAATGCACTTAAGGAAGATAATATAGAAGGAATAGGAATAAACTTGGACAAAGGGATAAGTAAGTCAAGCCACATGTTAATCAGTATACCCCCTCCCTCTAACTTTTAATAGCATTGAAATCTTATTTTCAGTTCTTAGGCTCTTAGATCTAGAAAGTAGGAAAAAAACCTGTGAATATATTTGCAATGCAATAATGCAATTAAACAAAAAATAAGCATACAGTACTTTGGCAAGTACACAGGTCTAGCACAATGTAAATGTAAATTGAAATGGTATAAAATGAGAACTTCATTACCATTGTATAATACAGTGAAAAGAACAGTCAATAAAAAATGCTGAAATATGTTTTTCTCAATGTCCAGGGGTTTGCCCTCAAAAGTCTGTTTTGATTTCACTTTCATTTTGTTTCATTCATATCAATACAAATTTAGTATTCAACAGGAGTTAAGGATAAAATTTCGCAACTTATGAATTGCTAAAATATTATTACCGGTAGTATCTTGCTTTGTCAACTAGAAACAAGGTATTAAAGATACTATGTCCATTTTGCAGCCAACCTCAGATTCTGCAAAACTTTGCAGGAATTATGAATAAGTCATGTATGTCCTATCTGTGAAATTTAAAGGTTAGCAGTGTCCTAATATTCAAATTATGCAAGGAAACCTGTTTACTTGCTAGACTTTACTGTCAGACACTATTGAGTGAGTGACTGGCTTTTTTTCTTCTTTGGTAATAACATAAAATAAGCTGTAAAGGGTACATGAGCATTTGTATATACAATGTATATCAATAACCCACTTCTTGTAAAGGCCAAAATTAAACTGATTGAATCTTTGCGCAACATAAAACGTACGACCATTCAGTACAATGGTCTGAAAATAAGACTATTACTTAATGGCACTATAGCTCCTAAGTCGATTCGAAAACTAATAGTTGTTATTTTCCCACTTATAGACATTCTCAAGCCCCCTTATTTAGGGAAGTTCTAAATTAGTATTATCTTTCGAATGCTGTTGGAATTTAACCTTTTCATTTTTTGGCCTGCAAATGGGACATACACTGTAGTACCTTTAAATGGGAAAGTTGTAAGGGCATGCTACTTGAAAATTTGTATTTGGTCAGCGACTTATATGGGCTACATGTATCTTTCATTTAAAGCAAGGTAATATATAGGAAAGTTGTAAGGCCATGGGTATGCTACACTTAAATATATTATTGGCCACAAGTTTATAAGGGCTTCTCATGTCTGGCTGATACCCTCTTTTGCAATATTATCTATTTGTACATATTTTATCCATGTATTTTTAAGTACACCTGTATAATAACACCTACTGTACTGTGAATGTATTGATTTAAATGTATGTTTTTCGGTCATTTGTATTTTATTGCAAAATAAAATATGATTTTTTAATGAATTGAATTAATTAATATTGGTCCAAGTTCAATATCCCAATATCCTGATGTGAGTGTTAATTTTTTTCTTATAAAGTGGTATATTTGTAAATGTACATATACACGTATATCTCATTTTCTTCGGCCCACAGAGAAAGCAGGACCCCCTCTGAATGTACAGACCACTGGCCACACCCAAACATCGGTATCGTTGGCATGGACTGCACCTAAAAAGTTGCCCGTTGGTGGTCATACCATCAGTGGCTATAAGATTCTATACAAACAGGAGGGTCAGTCAGATGCGTCAGGAAAGAAAATTGATGTACCAACTGATCCATCATATACAGTTACAGGTAAGAAATATGTATTGAACTTCAGCTGCAGTTTCAATGTCACTCGAAAGTCTTATTTGATTGAGCAGTAATAAGCCTACATGTACATCTGCAACATTGAATGTTTTTTTCCCCACAGATAGATATATTTAATCGACGAGGCAGAGGTATCATGCAGATGATATAAATGATGGTAAAATCATATCATTAATAAAATAAACAAATATTGATGAAAAGTTTTTTGACATTAAAAAGCTAAACATGATTATAGAGAGAGGAAAAATATAGATACATGTATTTAGTGATATAAATAGCGATTTGGAGAGAGAGCATCGATTCAGGTATTCTTGTAATTTTTATACAAAAATCAACTTTGTGATATTGTGTTAGGGCTTGTTATGTTAAGAAACACTTCCTTCATTAAAGGCATCGTTTAACAATGTTAAATCTGAGATGCAGGATCCTACGTGTTATCAGTGTCAGTGATTATGGTGTAATATTGAAGCCCTAAAAAAAGTGCCTCAAATAAGTAAAATTCTTTGAGTGACTGGTTTTACCATATCATTTTCCCCAATAGACTGGTTTCCAATCATAAATATCTTGATAATCAGACGGGCGTTCGGCTTGTAACAGTTATGGGATGTGAACAACAATTGAATTCAACAAGTTAACAAATACAACAATTATATACAAAAGAAATCACAAAAATTATGATAACAAGTTAACAACATAATAAGATGAAAAGAAACATGATGAATTAAAAATTACTTGGATAACAGAAACAATGATGGGTAATTAGGTATGTATTATTTAAAGGAGGGATATAAAATGTGCGAATGCTGCCAGACTATTTTCTAATCGGATATTATATTATGGAACGACTTTCGCAGTTATATGTTGTTCCTAAACCTTTTAAACAATGTCAATAAAATGTCATTATCCATGTTACTCATTCATGTTTAATATATGTTCCTTATTCAGATCTTGCTCCTGGTACTACATACATGTTCAAAATTGCCACCATCACTAGTAATGGAAAGGTTGGTGGATTTTCATCATGGAAGCAAGACCGCACAGAGGATGGTAGGTAGATGCCTATTACTCATTTTATATTATTTGAAAAAATGTAATTTTTTAAAGCTTGCAAATATTGTGCATGTTTCACTTTTGAAACATTGTTTGGGTACTCCCAGATTGTGCTTACATGTATTTTTGTATTTATTCAATTCAAATTTATTACCTCCAATAGTCATGCTAGCAGTAGAGCTAAATCTTTCATAATTCTTTGTTTTGTTTTATGAGGTGGTTTGAAATATGTAAGAGCATGAAGATTTCAGGAGTCAGTGAAAAGGGCAATTTTTAAGGCATTTGAATATTATTTGTTTGTATATTTGTTTTTGTTTGCTAATTCCTTTCATTAGTTTGGTAGTATCTGTTTAAGAAGTACTTGTATTAATGGAGTTAGTCCCTTATTTTATAGAGGTATATTAGGATACACTGGTTAGATTAAGGAATACATCAAAAGGCTTATTTCAGTAAGTTTAATTTACAGTTGATCTCAAATTACAAATTTTTGTTATGTACATGAATAGATATAAACTGACTTCATGTTTTGTGTTGCAACTTTATTCAGCACCAGCAACTCCTCCACCAGACCCACCTAGTAACGTGCAGGGCTCAGCAGATGGGACAAACATTAACATGGAGTGGACCCCATCCAGGTCTCAGGTCGATGGCTACGTGGTCAGCTACGGAAAGAACTCTGTGGATGAGAATAGCATGGAGGTCAGTCAAGATCAAAGGGGTGCTACAATCAGTGGACTAGATGCTGGAGCTACCTATCAAGTAGCTGTCCAGTCGGTCAGTGGCGGACAAAGAAGTTCAGCTGAAACATTTAGCGCAACAACAGGTGTGTGGGTGTGGGTGTGCGTGTGAGCATGCTGTATCCCGTGCCGTATATATATATTTTTTTAAGGAGGGGTACATCAAACTTGGTACTGCTACGTAGCACTAAGAAATATTAACATGTTTGATAGTGCATCAAAGGGGATTAAGGCTTCTGTAGATTTAAGATAAGCACGATACTTACCACACTTTAAATGTTATCATATTAGGTAAAAGGTGTACTGACACTGTTTTTTTCTGTAATTGCAGAATTCGATTCAGTTATTTTCTCTCTCTCAAATCTTCCAGTGTCCTCAGCGAATTTCAGAGTTGGGTTATAATTACTTCTTGTTCAAATAGTTTTGTTGAAATGATACAACATGACCAGACATACAGAATCGAAAAGCATACAGGGAATTTGAAAAATACAAATTAATTGAAAGGATAAAGAGATTGAAAGTAAGAAAAGATTGATGTTTCTAAAATCTTGCATTTTTGTCTGTTCCTTTTGTAGCTTCCCCCGTACCTTCAGCAGCTGGTAACCTTCGTCTGCGCTCCACGTCTGACAGCATTGATGCAGAGTGGGCTCATAATAGTGCAGAGCAGGATGGTGTGACTGGGTTTGAGGTATCTGTAGGCCCAGACTCTAACCCAACAGAACAGACCGTCAATTTAGGCAGCTCTGATCGATTCACCACTGTATCAGGTCTACAGCCTGATCAAGTCTATGTCGTGTCTGTCACAGCTCAGAATGAGTTTGGAAGCAGTCAGCCTGTATCGGACAAGATCAGTACACGTAAGTGTCCTTAAGTTATTAGTATAAATCTTGAATATTTAAATTTGAAATCTCACCTCCCATGTTCATGCTAGGAACTGAGGAAATATAAAAATCATGAAACCTAGAACATTCCCTGTGAGACATTCCAAAATAAATCAAGTATACATGTAATTTACATTAAAAATATTTGTAATAGATTCTATTGATATGTAACACAAACTACAATATGTTTTACTTATATCAAACAACAGGAAAAACTTTGTCTTGTAAATGTCATACAAGATTTGAGTTCATCAATTATCAGAAACATTTTTATCTATTATATTACAATGTTATATTCTATCATACATAACTTTATTATATTAAAATTTTATATATTTTTATACATCATTCTATTATATTACAATTTATTCCTTCAGTATCATAAAGAAATATTGAATCAATTTATTGTCTGCAGAGGCTGCCAGTGGAGGAGGTGGAGGTGGAGGAGCTGCCAATTCTCCTCCAAATGGGATGCAAATCAGAGAAGGTTCTGATAGAGCAACAGTCACCTGGGAACCTGCAACTAATGATGTAGATGGCTACAATGTCAACATGGGCACTGAGGCCAACCCAAATCAGTTTACACAACGTGTTCCTAGTGGGCAGAGGAGGAGGTTTAAACAAGATGGGCTTGAACCTGATACAGATTATCAAGTTTCAATTAAGTCTTTTGATGCAGAAGGGGAAAGTGACCCTATTCAACAAGGCTTTAGGACAAAGCCTAGTGAGTAAACGTTTCTCAATCTGTTGAGTTATTAATTGGTTGTTGGTGTTATGATGATTGTGTTGCTATTATTACTGTGGGTTTGATAACTGTGAAGCAATGGCTCCCAACTCACATATAGTAGCTAAAATTGGTCAAGGGAAAAGGTGGTAAATTACTGATACATTCTTGTAAAGGAACCCAGTTTGAATTGAAACTCTTACTTCTTACTTTCAGCATAGCCATCACTACCCCCTTTAACAAATTTACTCAATTATAGTTATGGCAAAAAGATTATGCTGAAAAACTAGCACTTGATCAGTTGGTGCTCCTTTAAATTTTTTTTTCTAGTTGGTCACACAAAGTGAATGATGCATTCTAAAAAAGGAACCAAATTTGGATGCTTCTTTTTCAGCAAAGCCAAGAAGGTATACTTAAAAACAGAAAGTCAATATGATGATATGATTTTATTTCTTTCGTACTGTGATGCCTTTTCACTACTCAAAATATTCTTTGAGGGTGATACTCCAGTTCATTCCATTTAACGAGCCGCAGTCTATATGCTATGCAGGAACATCTGAATATGATTTTTATTTTTCGTTTAGGGGAAACCCGTACCCGCGGCCCCCGCCGTCCAAGTGGTACCAAAGTGAAGAGTCGTTACGACTCATTAGGTGTTGAATGGGAAGAACCTGAAGGAGATGATGTAACTGGATACAGATTAGAAGCTGGACCTCCTTCAAACCCTCGCCAGTTTACAAGGGACTTTGAACCGGGCACAACAAGTGCAGACATCCCAGACTTAACACCAGATACAGATTATCAGGTCAATTTGTATTCTACCTCCGCATCTGGAGACAGTGAACCTGTAAGAAGGAAAGCAAGAACAAGTGAGTGCTTTCCATTTTTCTTTTTTATGCATACTGGCTGAAGGATAATGGCCAGTGAAGCATGTGTTATTTTGTTGTGTCAAGAGTTTTCAATTTAATAACTAGATATGAAATTATATACTACAGAATAAAACTTACCCAACATCTTGGGATTTTTTGTATACATGTAAGTGAAACCTGGAGACATTGTATTGTATATTTGTTGAAATGTACATATTGTTTTTAACCCCTTTAATGTAGGGCAAGCCAGACGCCCACAGCGCCCCCAACGTACAAGAGCAACTTCATCTAGTACTGATTCTATTGATGTCAACTGGCAAGCACCAAGAGATGATAGTGTTACTGGATACAGGGTGGATGTTGGTATTCCTTCTGATCCACAAAGAAGCTTTTCTCAGCGATACCCTGCTAGAACAAACAGGGCCTCCATCCCAGGCCTGAATGAAAACTCAGAATACCAAGTCAGTGTAGTTTCTACCTCGGAATCTGGAGAGAGTGAGCCTGTAAGAAAGTCTGTGAAAACACGTAAGGCTTCTACAAGTATTTTATTTTTCTGTTATGATTATGGTTATTATCATGTGTTGCGTCTGCTTTTGTTCCATAACTGATTCCTTTGAATCAAAGAGTCGGTCATTAACTTCTGCAAGCTCGTATTCTTCATTTTGTATCTGAAAGATGTTTACTATGAGATTTTTGTTATTTATATTTTCATATCTGACAATTTTTTTTATAAATACTTTTGTTTTAATGTTTAACAGTGCCTGTGACTAAATTGTTAACACTGTTTACTATGAGATTTTGGTTGTTATTTATATTTTCATTTCTGACAATTTTTTTATAAATACTTTTGTTTTAATGTTTAACAGTGCCTGTGACTAAATTGTTAACACTATAGAAATTGAATGATTCTTTGATTTTGATTTTGTACAGAGGTTGGGGATACAAGTCGTCCCCAAAGTCCAAACGGCATGCGAGTGAGGGAAGGCACTGAGACAGCAACAGTCAACTGGGAAGCTGCATCCGGTGATGTTGATGGCTATGTTGTCAACATGGGCACTGAGGCCAACCCAAATCAGTTTACACAACGTGTTCCAAGTAGCAACAGAAGGAGGTTTAGGCAAGCTGGACTCGAACCTGATACAGATTATCAAGTTTCAGTCAAGTCAGTTAAAGAAGGCAGAGAGAGTGAACCTATCAATCAAGGCTTTAGGACCAGGCCTAGTAAGTAATTATTCTTTTATCTTTTTATGCCTTCGCAACAAAGTAGCGGGAGGCATTATGTTTTCGGGTTGTCCGTCCATCCATTCGTCTTTACGTCCCGTTCTCATGATTGCGTTATCTCATGAAGCGATTAATGGATTTCTGCCAAACTTGGGTCATGTATGTATCTTGTAGAGCCAATGAACTGATTAGATTTTAGGGTCAAAGGTCATAGGTCATAGGGCTCATTATGAATGCAAAAGTAGCTTGTGAACGCATTATCATTAGAACGAATGGACAGATTACCATCACACTCAAGACATGTATGTATCTCGCAGAGCCAATTAACTGATTAGATTTTAGGGTCATGAGGTCAAAAGTCAAAGGGTCATACATGTATATGAAAATAGCCTGTTATCACGATATTATGAGAACCTGTAAATGGATTACAATCAAACTTGAATTTTAAAAATGGCTTCTGTTTTGGTTTGTAAAAAACGCTCTGGCGGAGGCATCATTTTCAACTGCGCGCAGCCAAAGATCCATTAAGTGTCATACAGTATTAGATGGGAAGGACTGCGTATATCTACTTTTTTGTTGGGGGGGGGGGGGGGGTTAATTGCTGGAGAAATAGTTGTAATTTCTGTGATTTTTTCTGGACATGCATGTAAGTATTCTGATTTGACTCCTTTGACTGTTATTAATGAATTAAATAACTGTGCACTCCTGTTCATGGTTTACATTAAATTCTATTTGCTGAAAAATATGGGAGCAGTTAATTCATCCTTGCTCATTATTGTTGAATTACCTTTCCATACTCACCATTAATTTAATATTTTCTTGGTCTTAACTATGCTGACGACTCTCAGGTTGTTTAAACTGCATGTTTTCATTAGTGCTTTGAATAGTTACTCATGAAGTATCTTTTTAGGACGAGCCGAGCCCACTAGGCCCCCGACCGGTGTGAGAGTGAACACAAGATACGATTCCATGGGAGTTCAGTGGGAAGAACCTGAAGATGAGAATGTTAATGGATACAGATTGGAAGTTGGAACTCCTGATGATCCTCAGCAGTTTGTAGGGGAATATGCTCGTGGCACAGACTCAGCCGTTGTCCCAGACTTAGATCCAGATACAGCTTATCAAGTCAAGCTTGTATCTACCTCCGAGTCAGGAGAAAGTTCACCTGTAAGAAGGAGAGCTAGAACAAGTAAGTGTTCATTACTCATTTTGTAATGATAACTTGCATTAATAGGACTATAGGATGCATTTGGTAACTGGTTGCAGCAACATGTTTTAACTAGATTTCTTCAATCACAAATGAAAAGATTTAATTTTGAGAATAAATTTCTTACTATTTTGAATTATTGCACACCTATGATCATGACTATTTTCTCATTTCTCTTTTGTAAATTGGTGTCTGTAAAATTTTACCAGTAAAAACAAATTTTCTGAATAGACAATAAATACTTAATTTCAAATATATAGTATAGAGACCTTTAAGCAGTTCAGGTATCCATAATATAAGTGGTTTTAGGCTGCCTAAATATTTTCATATTAGGAAGATCAACACTTAATGAGAGAATGTCATAGCAAGCTTTAGATATATGTGGTAATTATATTTTTTGCTTTGTCATTTAGGGCGAAACCGACGTCCAAAGCGCCCCCAACGTACTAGAGCAACTTCATCAAGTCCTGATTCCATTGATGTCAACTGGCAAGATCCAGATGATGAAAACGTTGATGGATACAGGGTGGATGTTGGATCACCATCTAATCCTCGGTCAAAGTTCTCTCAGCGAATCCCTCGAGGAACCAATTCAGTCAGTGTTCCAGGACTGGATCCAGATTCAGATTACCAAGTCAGTGTAGTATCCACCTCACCATCTGGAGAGAGTGAGCCTGTAAGGAAGACTGCAAGCACACGTAAGTACATATATTGTAGCAGTTGTTTATACCCCTGATATACTGGGTGACTTCATGTAGTATTTTGTCCTGATTCATTTTGTATTGTCTTGTGAACCTGTCAGTGTAATGATTGCTTGGTTTTGTTCATAGTCCTTATAGTTATAGTCATTATATGTAACTTCAAAATATGTGCTTATTTGATATAAAACTCTTCAAAATAGGTAGTTACAATCCATTTTCACTTTTTTTGTTTATCAATAAAGAGAAATCCCTGTCATGTTTAAAACTGGTAAAATATGCAAGGAGCATAAAACCATAGAAGTGAGTAAACAGAAATTTGCTGTATGGCTATTGCACATGTACTTGCTATTGCACATCAGGCAGCCACATGATGATTTATTTAAAATTATAAAAAACAAGGCAAAACGATATTGCTGCATGAAACTGACTTGTACAGTATTTGAAAAGTTTCTGTTATTGCATATGTATGGCAAACTATGATTGATTATAATACATGTATATGTATGTGCTTATACGGTTATTCTCTGTAGAGAGGCGTGGTTCTGGAGGTGTCTCCCCTCCAAATGGCATGAGGTTGAATGAAGAACCTACTTCTGTGAGAGTGAACTGGGGTGCATCAGGAAGTGACAACATTGATGGCTACACTGTCAACATAGGGCCCCCAAGCAACCCAACTCAGTTCTCTCAAAATGTTCCCAAGACCACCACAAGTTTAAGGCAAAAGGGCCTTCGTCCAAATACAGATTACCAAGCTTCTGTCAAGGCATATGGCTCAGATGGGGAAAGTGATCCCCTTCAACAAGGTTTTAGGACAAAGCCTAGTGAGTATCAAAATATAATTCTTTTCTTTACTATTGGTCAAAATATACTGTCATCATTTTCATGTAGTGAGAAGTTGAGTATAATATCTGGACAGATATATGAACCTGACAGTTAAACACCTTGGCTTGTATTCTAAAGTCTGGTTTAACTTTAAACCTAGGTTTAAGTCTAGTCTAAGTCTCGCCTAACTCTCAGATTTAATTCCGTTTCTGAAGTCAGGTCTAACTTGAACCTAGGTTTAAGTCTGGTCTAACTTTGTACAGATATTTAAACCAGGGGTACACCTAGTTTAATTCTGGTTTTAAGTTGACTGGTCTAACTATTTTTCAACATGGCGTATTAATTAGAAATCAAGAGAAGAAGAAACCGTTATGACCAATTACTGCAAATGATTAGACCGAGAGACCTTTTGTTGAAAAAACAAAATTCCTTCAACATATACGGTGACGAGGATATTTTGCATCGCTATCGTTTTACCAAACAAACAGCGATTAACATTTCCGACAAGCTGACTCCAGCACTGACACACATGGCGTGCTTGTGCATTGCCCGTCTATCTGCAAGTGCTTACTGCCTTGCGATCTTATGCCGTTGGTAAGTTTGAACTTTAATTATTGATACTTTGTTTGCTTATTTAATTTTTTTGCCGTATATTTTCTAATCTAAAGATTTTTATTTTCTGTAAGTTTGTGTGATTTGTATAGTTTCATACATGTACAATATATTCATGTTGTTATTCTATAAACTGAAGCAACTGATTTAAGACTGAAGCAGACATACAGTTTCTTGCATCAAATCATGATAATAGCTCATTACAGAGAGATACAATCTATTCTTTATTACGCATAGCTTTGTGTAGGAAGAGTGTTCTGATGCAAGTCTTGAAGAAATGTATTATATCTGCTTCCTGCTTCATTCAATCTTATAATCAAATGTAAAGGAGGTAAAGTCGGGTGTGAATTTTTCATTACAGATTGAACAATGAATCAAGACTCGAGTAAGGGGCAATTCTGATTCAACAGTAGATAAAATGTGTAAATTTCAGAAGAGGCATAGAAGAGAGGTAACTATGAAGCTTTATTTGATCCTATGACATAGAGCAAACTCGAGGTCCCAAGGTCCCAGTCAACACCAGGGCAAACTCGCGCTACGATGCAATAGCACTCAGATGGGATGAACCCGATGATGACAGTGTTACTGGATACAGAGTGGAAGTTGGGACTCCTAATGAACCTAACCAGGCCTCTTGGAATTTCCCTCGGGGCACAAGAGATTTCACCATTCCAGACCTAGACCCAGATTCAGATTATGATGTCAAATTATATTCCACCTCACCATCAGGGGATAGTGAACCAATCAGAAGGAAAGGAAGAACAAGTGAGTGGTATATATTGTTTATAGAGTTCTTTAGAGGTAGGCTAATTCCTGATTTGGATACTTATTCAAGTCTAAATCTGTGACCAATTCAGTGCTGTAATAACGTGAGGACTCACAAATTACAAGCCACAATGAACAGTGCATATTAGAAATGAAGTTGGGGTCTAGTATTCAGAATCCACTTTTTGTTTTATATCAATGAAAACAACAATGTGCAAAACATTGCAACATTCTGTCTATAGAGTTTTAGTGATTAAATGTTAGTTTGAATCTTCCACCACGTATTTATAACTCTTCTGAACCAAGTCACACCATCATATGGACATACACCATTAATTGCAGTTTGCTGGCCCACACACCCTGGGCGGCATATACATGTACATGCTAGTGTGAACCTCTTCAAAGTACTGATTTTTAACAGGTGCAAGCAACACTTTGGACCAACTGAAGATAATCATAGGGCCTTCTCAAAATAATTCCACTAAAAAGAGGGTGCCTGAAGCCTTATTGGTCTTTGAAGGTAATATGTTGTGTCTCAAGGACCTTTTATAGAACCTCTAAAATTCTTTCCAAATAAAATTGTATGTACTTTTGACTATAGATTAAGAAAAGAGAGAAAATAATATCTTTCAAGAATGAAGGAATAACAGTTCAGTTGACCATAAAGCTTGTGCTTTTATCTAGGACGCAACCGACGCCCAAGGCGTCCAGCCCGTGCTAAGGTGAACCCAAGCTCTAATTCTATAGATGTCAGCTGGGATGATGCAAAAGGAGATAATGTTGAAGGATACAGGTTGGATGTTGGAACACCATCTAATCCACGGCAATTCTCACAGCGATTTCCTCGGGACACAACCAGGGCCACTGTCCCAGGTCTAGACCCAGATACAGATTATCAAGTTCAAATAGTAACCAATGCAGCTGGCAGAGAGAGTGAACCATTAACAAAGCCTGCAAGGACAAGTAAGTTTGTATATGCATGTTGCATGGAATATATTCCTAAGGCCAGTATAAACTCGGAGGACATATGCCACGTATGGCTAATGACCATATCTTTTCATGAAATCTCAAGATTGTTAATCCTAAACAGATCCAACCTTTTGGAGTAGATTTTTACTTTAGGAGGGGGTCAACTGGATCCCTCTCACCTTTAGATTTGTACTAGATTAGGTCAAAATGACAAATATTGTAGGATATATGTGTAAAATGTAGCATCACAAACTTTCTTCTCTATGGATCTGATTTATACAAGATATATGATTCGCAATCTATTAATTATGTATAGGGCCAGGTCCATCAACAGGTGGATCCCCAGGAAGAGCAGCAGACTCTCCTCCTAATGGGATGCAAATCAGAGAAGGTCCTGATAGAGCGACAGTCAACTGGGAACCTGCAACCAATGACGTAGACGGTTATGTTGTCAACATGGGCACTGAGGCCAACCCAAACCAGTTTACACAACGTGTTCCAAGTAGTGACAGAAGGAGGTTTAAACAAGATGGACTTGAACCTGAAACTGATTATCAAGTTTCTATCAAATCATTTGACTCAGAAGGGGAAAGTGAGCCTATTCAACAAGGCTTTAGGACAAGGCCTAGTGAGTATACAGATATTTATTCCTTTCCTTATTTAAAATTGCTTTTCTGTCATGAAATTGTATTGTTTTATATGCATAGGGAATCTTGTAATTATTATCTGATTTGTCATTATGACGATTATGCTTATAAAGGAAAGGGGAAAGATGATTAGATTTTTGATTGAAATACATGTCTGTCTACCTTTCAATTTCTATCTTTGTATACTAATTCAGCCTTTATACTAACCTTTTGTCTAGTTGGAGACATATTAAGAGCCAGTTATTTAACAGTTGGATTATTCTTGCTTATGAGATTGTTGCAATATAAGGCAAAATATTTAGACAGCATACCCCTGGTCCAATGGAGAGACCTATAATCACCCAGTTTAACGATGAAATGTGATTTTTGGTTTTAGGGCGAAGCCGCAGCCCCCAGGCCCCAACTGGTACCAAAGTAAACAGACGAGTAGACTCATTGGGAGTTGAGTGGGAAGAGCCTGAAGGAGATGATGTAACTGGATACAGATTAGAAGCTGGACCTCCTTCGAACCCTCGCCAATTTACAAGGGACTTTGAACCAGGCACAACTAGTGCAGATATTCCTGGCTTAACACCAGATACAGATTATCAGGTCAATTTGTATTCTACCTCCAGATCTGGAGACAGTGAACCTGTAAGAAGAAAAGCAAGAACAAGTGAGTGCATCCATCATCATCATCATTTATTTAAGTCAGCAATTTTTCCTCTTACGAGGGGTTACTATCTTTCGGGCCATGACATTCTATTTCGCCACTTCTCCTTGTCTCGAGCATCCTCTTCATTTAGACCAATCCATACTGCTTTCTTTCTTCACCATATCTTTTCATGAAATCTCCTTTCTCCCTTTTTCTCTCATGCCATCCACTTTCAAATCCCACCTCATTTTACAGGCCCATCATCTTCCCTTCTCTAAACATAATCCATTCATCGCAATCCACTTCTCTTTTCCTTTTCCACCTTTAATGTTTTCCTCCAGACCCAACCTTTCCACGAGCTCACTTGTGATCTTTCTATCGAACAGTTTCACAAAACACATCATCCGTACCATGACTCTTTCTGTTCTCCTCAAGATACCTTCTTCTACTGTCTTCACATTACAAATGTCTAAACCATATTACATCGCTGTTAGAACACAAGCCTTATTGATCTTGCCTTTTATTCTCATCGTTAAACCTTCTACCAGCTAGAATCGAGGCAAGCTCAGTAAACTTTATCCACCCCAATTTGCATCCTCTGGCCACTTGGATCTCACATCCACCACCACTATTGATTGATTGTATCCTCAAGATAACCAAACCTACCAAGTTCATAGTTATTCCACACGACAGGCGCAAGCATATCACTTACCTCTTGTTAGAACGCAATTTGCCCTTACTACCTAGAGGTCCACTGGACCTAGGTTTTGGAATTCCCTTGAACCAAGAATAGCGCAATCGGTCAGTATTTATGTATTTAAGCGCAAACTGAAGTTACTGTATTTAAGTCGATATCGTCTAGATTTATAGTTGTGATCAATATTTAAGAAAACTATTTGCTATATAGGTCAGCAATTCTCCCATTTCTCACATCTATTCATCTGTCTGTCTTGTTTAGTTTTTGTCTGTGTTTCAGTCCTGTTGCTCGTAGTATATTCCTGTTCCTGTTGTTTATAGCCATTATTTAGTAGTCAGTAGATTTTATTGTACTTATTTATGTTTAATATTTTCTCAGTTGTTTCGTTAGTTTAATTTTGTAAGCATTTAAATGTACGCATTATTTTTTTTATTTGACGAGTTTGTTCTTTTAGGACATACTCTTAAACTACTCATGAGGGACCTTAAATCCACAAGCCTTGCTTTCAACCAAGGTCACCTCATCTTTCTATTGTAACGCCATGTTCTGTTTACTCCTTTATATTCATGTCATATTTATAATGTGTGTTATGAAAGAAAGATAAATAAACTTGAAACTTGAAACTTGAAACATACATTTAATAGTGGTGGTGGATTCCCGTTGAATATATAGATTCAGCAACGTTGGGGTATTAAGTAGTTGATTTGGTATCTTGCATGTATTTGGGAAATTGAGATGATAGGTGTCTTTCATCTGAAATAGTAATCAATAATAATAAATCATTTCATGCCAAATACTCAACATTGTAAAATGGGCATAAGGGTATACATTATTGAAGCCACACTCTTAAAATTCATTCATCCAGGGCCAACACGACGTCCCCAGCGCCCACAACGCACTAGAGCGAGTTCATCAAGTCCTGATTCCATTGATGTCAACTGGGAAGCACCTACAGATGACAGTGTTGATGGATTCAGAGTTGATGTTGGAACTCCTGCTGATCCACGTAGAGACTTCTCAAGGCGATACCCTACTGGAACAACAAGGGCCTCTATTCCAAACCTAAACCCAGACTCACAATACCAAGTCAGTGTAGTATCCACCTCACAATCTGGAGAGAGTGAACCAGCAAGGAAGCCTGTTAGAACTCGTAAGTTTACTATTATATTTTTATTACTTTGAAGATGTTGCAAGAAATACTGGTTGACTAGGCATTTTGACTACCGTATTTGCCGGCGTAAAGGCCGCACCGCCGTATAGGCCGCACCCCCGATTTTGACATTAAAAAAAAAAAAAAAAAAAAAAAAAAAAAAAAAAAAAAAAAAAAAAAAAAAAAAAAAAAAAAAAAAAAATCGTTTTTTTTTTTTTTTTTTTTGGTTGTTGTTGTTGTTGTTTTGTTGCCGAAAACCCACGCGGGGAAGGACCTTCATTTAACATCGAGGTGCAGTTAAAGGCGCTGATTTGTGCTTGTAAACTTGTCACAAAATAATAGTAACAATGTCGTTTTTAGAAGAATGTGTAAGATCATTAATGTGAATTAAAAACAAAAGAGTACTAGGTCCTAGGATAGTACCTTGTGGTACACCATTTGTTATATAAAAAAAATTGAGGAATTATTATTATAAACTACATATTGAGATCTATTAGAAAGATTACTTTCAAACCAAGATGACAGACAAATTTTAGTGTAGTTGTAGTTTCCGAGTGGTGAGTCAACACTGATTACTGAGCTGGGAGACATTGCCAGGCATAGCGCCATAAATCAAAACTAAAAAAAATAAATAAAAAAAAAAAAAAAAAAAAAAAAAAAAAAAAACCTTTTTTTTACTCTTTCGCCGCATAGGCCGCACCCAGACTTTTTGATATATTTTCTTCCAAAAATACCGCGGCCTATACGCCGGCAAATACGGTACGCATTTTAACCATGCATTTTAACCGGGTGACTCTGGGTATTGGTGCTAACGCATTATTTTATATACAAATTTCTTTATTTCATTGTGTTTTAAATTCTCCCCTCCAAATTACGTCTTTCTCTACTGCTATGTTTTTTTCATCTACGATACTCATTTTCCAGGAACCTATAATATACAAGCACTGATTTTTAATAGGTTCCTCACATTCTACTTAATCTATTATATGAATTGAGAATCATTGAAACGTTCTCATTTATACTACATGTATTGTATCATTTTTATTTTATATGTATGTCTACGGTATATTTTTGTAAAATGTGGAACAATAACAACTTGAAACTTGAATGTTGGCTAATATGTTGTTATTATGCTCTTAATTGGGAATACATGCACTTGTACATCCACAGAAGGTGACGGTAACCGACGCCCCTCCCGTCCAAATGGCATGCAAGTAAGGGAAGGTATCGAGTCAGCGACAGTGAATTGGGAACCCGCAACCAATGATGTAGACGGTTACATTGTCAACATGGGCACTGAGGCCAACCCAAATCAGTTTACACAACGTGTTCCTAGTGGGGAAAGAAGGCGGTTTAGGCAAAATGGGCTTGAACCTGATACAGATTATCAAGTTTCTGTCAAGTCATTCGATTCAAATGGAGAAAGCGAACCTATTCAAAGGGGCTTTAGGACAAGACCTAGTAAGTATTCCTACTTGTAATGATTTACCTCAAGTTTTCTATTAACCTAAGGATGTAAAAAGTTGTTGATCCTCCCTAAACTTGTAATTATTTTATTATGATATTAAAAAAATTGTAAAAGCAAGAATAAGTATGATGAACTATAACCAATAAAGCACTCTGTCTGTGATATTCTGAGTCTTCTCGCCAAGTTCTTATTGTGAAGATGATTTATTATCACTTGCAATTGAAGAGATTAATGGGACTTTTTTATACAGACAACGTAGACAAAGGAGAACAACCAGATTTTTCTCGAAGCATGCAACACAAGGAAAATAATTCACATTTCTACATCAAATCCTTCAATTAACCTTTTCAGACAAGACAGATGTGGTTCTACTTTTGCACTTTGTCTCCAAATTTTCTTCTTTCTCATGTTTATGTTTTTTAAGAATAGTGGAGAAATAAACAGTTTAATGCTCTGCTGGATAGTGGTTCTGTTATACGCTTTTTGTTAATACATTTTTTTTTATATATAAAATGTTGTTGCTCTGTTACACTCTTCTCATCTTGAATCTCTTCTTTAAATTCAATTCGTATACACTCATATGCTTGCATTACAGGAGACTTTGTGTGTGGATAAGAATTTGAAACTAAAATTTGGATATACAGTATAATGCATATTAGTGAGAATGGTTGATTCGCTTTTAGGATGACCTCAAACCACCACAAAAATTTAAAGCCAAGAAAAGTTATACGAGAGATGATTTATTCATGTATCAAGTTATGTATCGTAGAAGATAGCATTATGTAATTGTATTGATACTCTCAGATGTATATACTGCTGGCTTTGTACATCTGTGTTTGGATAAAGATTAATATTGATAATGTTATTGTGCTTTCAGGACGACCCCAAACCACCAAGTCTCCAAATAGTGTCAGAACAAAACCGAGATACGATTCTATGGGAGTGCAGTGGGAAGAACCTGAAGATGAGAATGTTGATGGATACAGACTGGAAGTTGGAACACCCTCTGATCCCCGCCAGTTTGTAAGGGAATTTGATCGTGGCACGACTGCTGCCAATGTTCCAGGTTTAGACCCAGAAACAGATTATCAAGTCAATCTAGTATCTACATCTCCATCTGGAGATAGTGAACCTGTAAGAAGGAGAGCTAGAACAAGTAAGTATTGTTATGTCACATTGAAGTTGTTACTTTTGTATGCAACTAGACATGTACTGGTAGAAGATTTCTGAAGTATAAATAGATTTGATTTTTTAATGAGCTTTCTGTGCTAACCACTGAAGAAATTTCTTTTTCAACTCTAGTCTTAGAACAGGGAGAGGGAAGATGGAGCCAATAGTGGGAGCCCTGCCATCTACATGTTTTGCCACTTATTTCGAACGGTCATTTTCACATATGCCAATTCAAGATTATATAAGTCCATCTGAGCCAGCTGTGACCTTAATATGAACTATTCAAAGAATTGTACCTGTGCTAGCAATTAAAAAAAAAGTGTAAATTCATAGGCATTCAAAGAAACATGGATATAAACAATGCAGATTTGCTATCCCCCCCCCAACACACACACACTCACACTCACACACACACACAGCCAGCCAGAACTTTAACAACCTATGTGCAATGAAGTTACAGGCTGGAATGGCTCGATCTGTTACCTTTAAGAAGAAGCTACCGAGAATTGAAAACAATATTTGTACTCTGTGAAATGATTTTTTATGCCTCCGTTACGAAGTAGCCGGAGGCATTATGTTTTCGGGTACGTCTGTACGTACGTACGTCCCGTTCTCGTGATCGCGTTATCTGAAGAACCGATTGATGGATTCCTGCCAAACTTTGGTCATGTATGTATCTTCCAGATCCGATGAACTGATTAGATTTTGGGGTCACGAGGTCAAAGGTCAAAGGTCACAGGGCTCATTATGTATGCAAAAACAGCTCGTGATCGCGTTATCTCAAGAACCGATTGATGGATTCCTGCCAAACTTACGTCATTTATGTATCCTGCAGAGCCAATGAACTGAGTAGATTCTTGGTTCATAAGGTCAAAGGTCAAAGGTCATGGGCTCATTATGTATGCAAAAATAGCTTGTGAATGCATTCTCATTAGAACTGACACATGGATTACTATTTAACTCGGGACATCTTGCAGAGCCAATGAACTGAGTAGATTTTAGGGTCATGAGGTCAAAGATCAATGGGTCATATATGTATATAAATTGCTTGTAATCACGATATTCTGAGAACCTGTTAATGGATTACAATTGAACTTGAATTTGAAAAATTTCTTCTGTTTTGGTTTGTAAAATTGCTCTATGACAGAGGCATCATTTTCGACTGCGTGCAGTCGAAGTTCCATCTAGTTTTTTGTTTACACCCGAGTATTCCTACTGCTAGTTTTATACCATTATTTCTATTATTTTAATATCATGTTATAAGAGAGGGCTAAATCATTTGAAATTAGAATTTTGCAATGTCCCTATTATCCATGACTGAAATTTTTGTTATAACTGTCTCCTTAAGGGCGAACACGGCGTCCAAAACGCCCCCAACGCACTAGAGCAACTTCATCAAGGCCTGATTCCATTGATGTCAACTGGCAAGATCCAGATGATGAAAGTGTTGATGGATACAGGGTGGATGTTGGAACACCATCCAATCCTCGGTCAAAATTCTCTCAGCGAATCCCTCGAGGAACCAATTCAGTCAGTGTTCCAGGCCTAGATGAAGATTCAGATTACCAAGTCAGTGTAGTATCCACCTCACCAACTGGAGAGAGTGAGCCTGTAAGAAAGTCTGTTAAAACACGTGAGTATGATAGTCATGCCTTAGACATAAAAAGTTAAGGCATTCAAAAAGTTTGAAGAACCTAGATATTAAATGTTCTATAGGTATAGGTAATGTTTTGCCTCGGATAATTATGCCATTAAAAAACCAAAGGTACTTTTCTTCTCTCAATGATCATCACTTGATTGGTTGTAATGTAGCCAAGCATAATCAGACTCAATTAGATTAATTGGGTTCCCAGTTGGGTCACAATTTTCATATATTTTACTTAAATGTAGAAGTTCATGATACTAAATCCTCTTTGCTTGAAATATATTTATTTCCACAAACTGATAGTTGCTTTGTATCTTTACAGAGAGGTCTAGTCCGCAGAGCATCTCCTCTCCAAATAGTATGCGGTTGGATGAAGAACCTTCTTCTGTGACAGTTAATTGGGATCCCTCAGGAAGTGATAACATTGATGGCTACACTGTCGACATAGGGACCCCAAGCAACCCAACTCAGTTCTCTCAAAATGTTCCCAAGACCACCAAAAGTTTAAGGCAAAAGGGCCTTCGTCCAAGTACAGATTACCAAGTTTCTGTCAAGGCATATGGCTCAGATGGGGAGAGTGATCCTATTCAACAAGGGTTTAGGACAAAGCCTAGTGAGTACTGTCAAGATACACTGCAATCACTCTTGCTTGAAGTCTATTTTATAGTTTTATTAACTAAATGGAAATTACCAGCAAGATGAGAAACTTCTTGATTATGTTCCCATAGTGGTCTAGGTGTATTGTATACATTTACATATCTATGTTCTAGAGAATGGATATTCCATCCATGATTTCCAGTGAAATGTTGAGGGAACTATCACTTGAGGTTTCCCGTGTGATTATATCCACCATCGGATGCGGGGGCAGGGCAGTACCAAAGAAGATTGCAAATTTGTGCATGCACTAAATACATGTATCAATAGGTTTGCGTGTAATGGGCACATATGATTATTATCCCCTCGCTGACGAAGTCGGAGGGGATATACTGTAGTAACGCTGCCGTCCATCCTTCCTTCCGTCCTTCCGTTGGTAACAAATCTGGTTTCCGTTAAATAACTTTATAATGTTTGACAGATTTTAATGAAATTTGATTTGAAGTACATGGTATAAAAATACAGCCTAAGTTTTGATTTTGAGTATGTAAATCAAAGGTCAAAGGTCATAGCTCATTAAATATGCAGGAAAAAAGGTAATTATTTAGAAATTTGGCTTCCATTTGATAACTTGAGTAATGTTTGACGGATTTCAATGAAACTTGATATGAAGGTACATGGTATCAAAATAGAGCCTCATTTAGATTGCAGAGTATCCTATCATAACTATTAAAGTGTGTTAAGTACTAACTTGTTATGGCTTATGATACAGTTACAGAACAATTGTATGAAAAGTTATACATTTTGCAGAGAATATAAAAAACCTCCCTCTTTCAAAGAAATGCTTAATCGCTGTGATAATCATGCTATTGCAAGGTATTAAGAAATGCTTTTGCTTTTAAGAAAAACAGGCCTGATAAAAACCCGATTTAAATCGGTTTCCCGATTTTTTTTATTTTTCCCGATATTTTCCCGATTTTTTTTTTCTTCCCGATTTAAAAAAAAAAAAAAAAAAAAAAAAAAAAAAAAAAAAAAAAAAAAAAAAAAAATCATTTTTTTTTTTTTTTTTTTTTTTTTTTTTTACCAATTTTTTTTTCCTTCCCTATTTTATCCTGATTTTCCCGATTTCCCTCTTATTATCTCTATTCTTCCCTATTTTTCCCCCAATTTTCCCCCCAATTTTCCCAAGTTTGTCTCAATTTTCTTACTTGAAAGGGGGGAATGTTGTTAGATGCCATTTTTTCCCCGCGAATCGTCTTTTTTTTTTTTTACTCAAGGGGGGCGTGGTTGAGGGGAAAACAAAAAACCTATTTTTTTTTTAGTGCTCACTATCACCCCTGGAAAAATAATGAATTCTAATGCACTGTTTTAATTGATAATTATGCATTAAAATAAAAGAAAATAAAACTTTTGTCATTGTATAAGTTTTTCTTTTTTCTGCTGTATATTAAAAAAAGCTTTATGCAATGTATTTTTGTCCGAGGCATACTGAGTTTTGAAGGAGACTATGCAACTGGCTTCGAGTGTGTGTATGTATACCTATCTGTTTGTGATGGTTCAAAACTTCTACACAAAGGTGTACATGTGTGTTATTCAATATTTGGCTTCACCTGTGTCTGGAAGGCAAAAGCTTAACTGAATCATGGTAACCCTTGTGTCTCCCCCCCCCCCCCCCGGAATAACTAATTTTGGGTGTGCAGATGGTACACTAAACCGGGCTTTCCCCTACTCTTACACCAATAATGCAGTGGGTTCTTAACATGCATTTAACATCCGAGGGACGGAGTATTTTACACTTTGACATAGCCTGGCTTCTATGAGATGGGAGGGGCACTTTAACACACAACGCAGGTTTCAGTCATCCGCCTGGGTTGGAGTCAAACCCACGATCTTTGGTTCGACAGGCAGACGCTTAACCAACTGAGCCAACTCGCTTCATTAAGTAATTATGCTGATTAATGCCTTTTTTACAAAAGCAAAATAACTGCTTCTTTACTCGTATTGCTAACTGTCTTTCTTGCTGTGAACTTGCTGTACTATTCATTGGGAATTTCAAAGCTTCAATATATATTCAATGTTAAAAATGTATTTCTGCAGACCAATTTTTATTCTGTATGTTTCATCTAATAGTATTTATTTGATATTATTTAATAATAGGCCTAATGCGTATTAATGATTACAAAAAGTGCTTTATAATTCTAGAACTATTTACATTAACATATTTACATAGAGGCTTCAAAACTTCTTGAGAAAAACATAAAATTTACTACTTATGCTTTTAAATTTAGGTCATAAAGTTGTTTTCAATTTATTTGAAATAACCAAATAATGCTTCTTTGTTTTTTATTGCTTTTTTGTATTCTGTAACTCCACTACATGGAATTTGGTTTTTGCTTATTATACAATGCTTTTTCCCTGTGTAGCCTGAACACTTAAAACAAACAACTTCTTGTTGGAATGTGTTTTGTTCTCTGCAGAATTATTTATTCTTCTGTTAAGGAGTTATTACAACATGACCTGCACAACAACATTGCCTTTTCAAATTAATTACAACAGGCAAGATAATGATGTCTTCAAAATTGTTTTGCATACACATAAAAACTAGAACTCAGAGCAAGTCAGAAGGTAAAAGAATGTAGTGTTAAAGTCTATTCCCTTTAATACTAGTCAACTACATATAGATCTAAACTAGATCTAGAATAGATCAGAACTTCTCTGAAGATATAGATTTAATCTAATTGTTAAGATCTGACAAGATTTGCTCAGCATGATGCGTGACAATTATCTACAGAAAAATCATAGTTCAGCTTCAGCATTAGGCTACTTAACACTTCCATGACTTGCATTTTACTTTCAGTATAATACAGAATTAGTTTAGATGTGAGCGTGAGTGCATGAGAGCATCAATAAGATGTCCTGCACCACCTTCGAAGCTTTGAAGTAAGCTCTTTTTGTCTCGGCTATATTTCGTAGTTCTTTGAGTGTGTTGAAAGAACAGGTATGATCAGAGTATGATTAATGAGATCACTTTGATCATTCAACGGATATAGGAGAGTGAATTTAGTGTTGTCTAAATCAGCAGTAGAACGCTCTGCATTGTTTAACAAGAAACTAAAATCATTAGTTTTGCACAGAGTCAAACAGTGAATAGAGATAGGGAGCTAGGAACAAGTATATATATATGTAGAAATATCAATTCATCAAAATGTCTTGCAAATCATTTTGAGGAATTTAATGAATATTTAGTTACATTACATATTTCTAAGTAATTGCAAATGATTCCATCTCTCTTGTTTGTTCGCAGAGCGAAGTCGAGGCCCTGCACCCCCAGTTAACACCAAGGCAAATACACGCTACGATTCAATAGCAGTCAAATGGGATGAACCTGATGATGAAAATGTCAATGGATATAGACTTGAAGTTGGGACTCCTGATGAACCTAACCAGGCCTCTTGGAATTTCCCTCGAGGCACAAGAGATTTCACCATTCCAGACCTAGACCCAGATACAGATTATGACGTCAAGTTATATTCCACCTCACCATCAGGGGATAGTGAACCAATCAGAAGGAAAGGAAGAACAAGTAAGTAATCATATCCATACTTAAATCTGTTCTGAGTAATTACTGATCATGGTTTTTTTTTTAATTTGTGTCATCTTTTTTTGCACCAGTTAGATAATTACCCAGCATGCAAGCTTAATTAATGATATGCATTTTATTGTTTATTAAACCTCAAAAACCTAAATTTAGTTAATAAACACACAATATAGAGTAGCAGGTTTTTAATGAACCAACTTACTGATGTATGCAGAGGAAAATCCTTTCAGAACACACACTTAAACTTTATATAATTTTTTTAGGCAGTGTTTATATTGCTTAAATTATCATAGTTGATTCGCCGGTTTGGGATGCCCAATGCGCTCAGCTTTTGTGGATAGCATAAAGTATTTTGAACTATCTTATTGGTGCAAAGGTACATTAATGTTATAATCTACTTATGTAACATGGATGTTATCACAGTTTGATCATCATATTGAGGCATTGAAAATAATTGTTAGTTAATTTTCATAAGTTTAAGAATACTGTACTGATTATTCAAAAGACACATATATGCTGTGAGTTATTTCACATGTAATTAAATGTGTGAGTTGAGCAGGTGATCGTGAAAGTTTATTCTGACATTGTCTTGTAGGACGCAACCGCCGTCCAAAACGCCCAGCCCGTTCTAAAGTGAACCCAAGCTCTGATTCTCTGGACGTAAGTTGGGATGAAGCAAAAGGAGACAATATTGACGGATACAGGGTGGATGTTGGAACTCCTTCTAACCCAAGACAGTTCACACAGCGAGTCCCTCGTGGAACAACAAGGGCATCTTTCCCAGGTCTAGACCCAGACACAGATTATCAAGTTAACATAGTATCTACTGCAGGAGTTGAAGAAAGTGAACCATTAACAAAGGCTGCTAGGACAAGTGAGTGTAAATTGTATTGGAATACATGGAATGTGCACTATGGCAGATGACGCTGGAAGCAGTCTAGCCTTTCTAGTTAGTAGTCTCTGGTACACCTATCTATATCTGCACATACATGTATATGTATGAAAAGCAAAGTATTTTGATTAAAGTATCAGAGTTACTTTCCAGGGAGAAAAAAAAATAAAGGTAAAATATAAAACCTAAATGTAGGGTTTACGCTTGTATTCAATCACATATTGCTCCACTACCAAATCTTAATTGTGTGTTTAGTGAAGATCAGTGTACAGAGCATAAGTCAACCATGAAACAATGTGATTTGGTAGCATAGATATTTGTGAAAAAAACTAAAGATGTTAGTCCAATTTTTTCACCAGCTGTGAACTATATGTATAGATAAGTTTTTGGGAACACTTAAGGACCGAAATGATCCTCTATCAGTCTCTTCACCTAAAACTGAGTGAAATGGAAAACAACTTTTGTATCATAAGAGAGTATTGTGTTTACTACTTTTTTTAAACTAGGCATGGTTGAAGAGGTGCAAGCATTTGTGAAACGAAAATGGTGTCTGTTATTGTAAGATCCTCCCCCCCCCCCCAAAAAAAAAAAAAAAGCTGTTCAAACACATACAATAAGTCAGGTTTATTATTCCTCCATATGGGTAATATCAGACAAACAGAAAGGCTCTACTTAGCATTACCCAATGGCAAATATATATAACACTGATCTCATATCATGGGATACAATGTATATATGTTATTTGCGTTTGCAAAGTTTTAGTGTTAATTGATTTGGTGTAATTTGTGATGTAATTTGTAATGCAAATGCTGTTTCCTTTACTTATCCTCTACTTTCCTTCTACTCCGCCTAGAGGCATTATACAATATGTGGTATAGAAATATCTTATTATTAGAAGTAGTAGTAGTAGTAATGTAGCATTATGGCTTATTCCATTAATTGCCTTTTAAAATAGTTTAAACATTACAATGAATTTCTGTCTAATCTGAATATAATGTTGAATGCAATGCAGTGTCAATTATCGCATTATCATTAAAACCGATAGACAGACATTCTGAGAACCCTTTAAGGGATTACAATCAAACTTGAATTTTAAAAATTGCTTCTGTTTTGGTTTGTAAAATCACTCTATGGCATCATTTTTTGACTACCCACAGTCAAGGGTCCATCTAGTTTAATGTAGCTTTCAATCTATTCTATGTCTAAAGGAGCATCTGAGTCCAGGCCAAGTCCAGGAGCAGAAAGGTCTCCTCCAAATGGGATGCAAATCAGAGAAGGGCCTGATAGAGCGACAGTGAACTGGGAACCTGCAACCAATGATGTAGATGGTTATGTTGTCAACATGGGCACTGAGGCCAACCCAAATCAGTTTACACAGCGTGTTCCAAGTAGTGACAGAAGGAGGTTTAAACAAGATGGACTTGAACCTGAAACTGATTATCAAGTTTCTATCAAATCATTTGATTCAGAAGGGGAAAGTGAGCCTATTCAACAAGGCTTCAGGACAAGGCCTAGTGAGTATTACAGATCTTCATTCCTTTCCTTATTTTGAAGTTTGTTGTCTGCTTTTAAGGTGACAATGTGTTGGACTTTGGTTGAAGGAATCTGATAACAGTTATCAATGAATGAAGTCCACTCCAAATTTTATTAAGTTAAACCGATAAGATTTTTAAATTATATACGTCACCTTCCTCCATCTTTTCATCCTCCCAGTTCTGAATAATAATATGAATGTTTTTACTACCCTCTACTTTTTCTTCTTTCTTTGCATTTGAAAATCCAATTGCATCTATTTCTCATTTTTATACTTGTTCAATATGACGGAGAAGATCTTAACAGTAAATTTTATCATAAAGTGTTATTTTTCATTACAGGGCGAACCGGCAGTCCCCAGCCCCCAACTGGTACAAAAGTGAACAGACGAGTAGACTCATTGGGTGTTGAGTGGGAAGAACCTGAAGGAGATGATGTAACTGGATACAGATTGGAAGCTGGACCTCCTTCAAACCCCCGCCAGTTTACAAGGGACTTTGAACCGGGCACAACTAGTGCAGACATCCCAGGCTTAACACCAGATACAGATTATCAGGTCAATTTGTATTCTACCTCCAGAACAGGAGACAGTGAACCTATAAGAAGGAATGCTAGAACTAGTGAGTACTTTCCTTTCACTTTGTAGATTCAGCAATTTTAAACTAATACGCATTTTGTATCTTGCATGTACCTAAATTGAGATTGTCGTTGTCTTCCATCTAAAATATTAATTGATAACAATAAATCATTGTCAAAGTGAATACTCAATATCCTAAAAAAAACATATATTTCTTTCCTCTACGAAATGTCAAAGTTGGGGGTGCGACCTATGCGGCGCTGCGGCCTTATCGCCGGCAAACACGGTATACATCATTAAAAACATTACAAAAGCATCAAAACTTTGTGAAAATGGTATCCATACTCTTAAATTCATTCATCCAGGGCCAACAAGACGTCCACAGCGCCCCCAACGCACTAGAGCAAGTTCATCAAGTCCTGATTCCATTGATGTCAACTGGGAAGCACCTACAGATGACAGTGTTGATGGATTCAGAGTTGATGTTGGAACTCCTGCTGATCCACGTAGAGACTTCTCAAGGCGATACCCTACTGGAACAACAAGGGCCTCTATTCCAAACCTAAACCCAGACTCACAATATCAAGTCAGTGTAGTATCCACCTCACCATCTGGAGAGAGTGAACCTGCAAGGAAGCCTGTGAGAACTCGTAAGTTTACTATTATATGTTTATTACTTTGAAGATGTTGAAAGAAATACATTTTGACCATGCATTTTAACCGCCAGACTCTGGGTATTGGTGCTAACACATTATTTTGTATACAAATTTCCTTATTCCATTGTGTGTTAAATTCTCCCCTCCACATTACATCTTCTCTACTGCTACATTTTTTTCATCTACAATACTCATTTTTCTAGGAACCTATACAAGCACTGCTTTATAATAGGTTCCTCACATTCTACTTAATCTATTATATTAATTGAGAATCATTGAGACGTTCTCATTTATACTACATGTATTGTATCATTTTTATTTGATATGTATGTCTATATTTTTGTAAAATGTGGAACAATAACAACTTGAAACTTGAATGTTGGCTAATATGTTGTTATTATGCTCTTAATTGGGAATACATGCACTTGTACATCCACAGAAGGTGACGGTAACCGACGCCCCTCCCGTCCAAATGGCATGCAAGTAAGGGAAGGTATCGAGTCAGCGACAGTGAATTGGGAACCCGCAACCAATGATGTAGACGGTTACATTGTCAACATGGGCACTGAAGCCAACCCGAATCAATTTACACAACGTGTTCCTAGTGGGGAAAGAAGGAGGTTTAGGCAAAATGGGCTTGAGCCTGATACAGATTATCAAGTTTCTGTCAAGTCATTTGATTCAAACGGAGAAAGCGAACCTATTCAACGGGGCTTCAGGACAAGACCTAGTAAGTATTCCTACTTTTAATGATTTACCTCAAGTTTTCTATTAACCTAAGATGTAAAAAGTTGTTGATCCTTCTTAAACTTTTAATTATCTTATTATGATGTTAAAAAATCATGAAAGCAAGAATAAGTATGATGAACTATAACCAATAAAGCACTCTGTGATATTCTGAGTCTTCTCGCCAAGTTCTTATTGTGAAGATGATTTATTATCACTTGCAATTGAAGAGATTAATGGGACTTTTTTATACAGACAACGTAGACAAAGGAGAACAACCAGATTTTTCTCAAAGCATGTGGATATGCATCACAACGAAAATAATTTATATTTCTACATTAAATCCTTCAATCAACCTTTTCAAACAAGACAGATGGGGTTCTACTTTTGCACTTTGTCTCCAAATTTTCTTCTTTTTCATTTTTTTGTTTTTTAAGAATAGTGGAGAAATAAACAGGTTCATGTTCTGAAGGATAGGGGTTCTGTTTTAAGCTTTTTGTTGATACATTTTTGTTCAAATAAAATGTTGTTGCCCTGTTACACTCTTCTCATCTTGAATCTCTTCTTTAAATTCAATTCTTATACAATGATATGCTTGCATTACAGGAGAATTTGTGTGTGGATAAGAATTTGAAACTAAAACTTTGATATACAGTATAGTGCATATTAGTGAGTATGGTTGATTCGCTTTAAGGATGACCTCAAATCACCACAAAAATTTAAAGCCAAGAAAAGTTATACAAAAGTTGATTTATTCATGTATCAAGTTATGTATTGTAGAAGATAGCATTATGTAATTGTATTGATACTCTCAGATGTATATACTGCTGGCTTTGGACATCTGTGTTTGGATAAAGATTAATATTGATAATGTTATTGTGCTTTCAGGACGACCCCAAACCACCAAGTCTCCAAATAGTGTCAGAACAAAACCGAGATACGATTCTATGGGAGTGCAATGGGAAGAACCTGAAGATGAGAATGTCGATGGATACAGACTGGAAGTTGGAACACCCTCTGATCCCCGCCAGTTTGTAAGGGAATTTGATCGTGGAACGACGGCTGCCAATGTTCCAGGTTTAGACCCAGAAACGGATTATCAAGTCAATCTAGTATCTACATCTCCATCTGGAGACAGTGAACCTGTAAGAAGGAGAGCTAGAACAAGTAAGTATTGTTATGTCACATTGAAGTTGTTACTTTTGTATGCAACTATACATGTACTGGTAGAAGATTTCTGAAGTATAAATAGATTTGATTTTTTAATGAGCTTTCTGTGCTAACCACTGAAGAAATTTCTTTTTCAACTCTAGTCTTAGAATGGGGAGGGGGATGGTGGAGCCAATAGTGGGCACCCTGCCATCTACATATTTTGCCATTCATGTTGAACGGCCATTTTCACCAATAATTCCAGATTATATTGTGTTGAAGTCTTGCATGTTTTGACACCTAGTTTACATGTATGAACCATTTGTGACCTTAATATGAAGAATTCAAAGAATTTTACCTGTGCTAGCCATTTAAAAAAAATGTGTAAATTCATAGGCATTCAAAGATACATGGATATATACAATGCAGCTTTGCTACCCCCCCCCCCCAACACACACACACACACACACATTCTCACATCAGGGCCTTTGTGGGGCACCTGATTGTGGGGTATTTCTGTGCGTTCCAGATATACCTTGTGGTCCCCTACTAGTGGGGTATGTACAACCTGGCGATAACAACCCGGCGGTGTGCTTACGATGTTACCATAAAAAAGTGTGCAAGTTTAAGCACACGCTCACAAAAAGTCATTTATGGGGTACCACTTCTAATGCCCCGCAGGGCATAGGACACCGAATATACAGTCATTTGAAAGACTTTACTCTGTGGGGTCCTGAAAAAATACCCCACAAAGTAAAAATGCCTCACAAGGGGTATGTGAAGCGCACATAAAACCCCACAAGAATGCTGAGGTGAGAGCACACACACACACACGCACACACACGCATTCTCACATCAGGGCCTTTGTGGGGCACCTGATTGTGGGGTATTTCTGTGCGTTCCAGATATACCTTGTGGTCCCCTACTAGTGGGGTATGTACAACCTGGCGATCACAACCCGGCGGTGTGCTTACGATGTTACCATAAAAAAGTGTGCAAGTTTTAGCACACGCTCACAAAAAGTCATTTATGGGGTACCACTTCTAATGCCCCGCAGGGCATAGGACACCGAATATACAGTCATTTGAAAGACTTTACTCTGTGGGGTCCTGAAAAAATACCCCACAAAGTAAAAATGCCTCACAAGGGGTATGTGAAGCGCACATAAAACCCCACAAGAATGCTGAGATGAGAGCGCACGCACACACACACAGCCAGACAGAACTTTAAAAACCTATTAGGAATGAAGTTACAGGCTGGTATGGCTCGATCTGTTACCTTTGAGAAGAAGCTACCAAGAATTTAAAAAATATTTGTACTCTGTGAAATGATTTTTTTTGTTTACACCTGAGTATTCTTAGTTTTATACCATTATTTTAGTAAAGAATGATGTGGAGAATATCACGTTATAAGAAGAGGGCTAAATCATTAGAAATTTGAATTTTGCAATGTCCCTAATATCCATGACTGAAATTTTTGTTATAACTGTCTCCTTAAGGGCGAACACGACGTCCAAAGCGCCCCCAACGCACTAGAGCAACTTCATCAAGGCCTGATTCCATTGATGTCAACTGGCAAGATCCAGATGATGAAAGTGTTGATGGATACAGGGTAGATGTTGGAACGCCATCCAATCCTAGGTCAAAGTTCTCACAGCGAATCCCTCGAGGAACCAATTCAGTCAGTGTTCCAGGCCTAGATGAAGATTCAGATTACCAAGTCAGTGTAGTATCCACCTCACCGACTGGAGAGAGTGAGCCTGTAAGAAAGTCTGTTAAAACACGTGAGTATGATAGTCATGCCTTAGACATAAAAAGTTACGGCATTCAAAAAGTTTGAAGAACCTAGATATTAAATGTTATATTAAATCTATAGGTATAGGTAATGTTTTGCCTCGGATAATTATGCCAGTAAAAAACCAAAGGTACTTATCTTCTCTCTATGATCATCACTTGATTGGTTGTAATGTAGCCAAGCATAATCAGACTCAATTAGATTAATTGTGTTCTCAGTTGGCATCATAATTTTCATATATTTTACTTAAATGCAGAAGTTTATAATACTAAATCCTCTTTGCTTGAAATATATTTATTTCCACAAAATGAAAGTTGCTTTGTATCTTTACAGAGAGGTCTAGTCCGCAGCGCATCTCCTCTCCAAATGGCATGCGGTTGGATGAAGAACCTTCTTCTGTGACAGTTAATTGGGATCCCTCAGGAAGTGATAACATTGATGGTTACACTGTCGACATAGGGACCCCCAGCAACCCAACTCAGTTCTCTCAAAATGTTCCCAAGACAACCACAAGTTTGAGGCAAAAGGGCCTTCGTCCAAGTACAGATTACCAAGTTTCTGTCAAGGCATATGGCTCAGATGGGGAGAGTGATCCTATTCAACAAGGGTTTAGGACAAAGCCTAGTGAGTACTGTCAAGATGCACTGCAATCACTCCTGCTTGAAGTTCATTTTATAGTATCAGTAACTAAATGGAAAGTACCAGCAAGATGAGAAACTTCTTGATCATGGTCCCACAGTGGTCTAGGTGTATTGTATTCATTTACATTTATATGTTCTAGATAATGGAATGGATATTCCATCCATGATTTCCAGTGAATTGTAGAATGAATAGTTGAGGAACTATCACTTGAGGTTTCCTGTGTGATTATATCCACCATTGGATGCGGGGGCAGGGCAGTCCCAAAGAAGATCGTAAAATTGTGCATGCACTAAATACATGTATCAATAGGTTTGCATGTAATGGGTACATATGATAATTATCCCCTCGCTGACGAAGTCGGAGGGGATATACTGTAGTTACACTGCCGTCCATCCTCCCTTCCGTCCTTCCGTTTGTGACCAATCTGGTTTCCGTTCAATAACTTTACAATGTTAGACAAATTTTAATGAAATTTGATATGAAAAACCCTCCCTCTTTCAAAGAAATGCTTAATCACTGTGATAATCATGCTCACGCAATGTATTAAGAAATGCTTTTGCTTTTAAGAAAAATAATGAATGCTAATGCACTGTTTCAATTGCTAATTATGCATTAAAATAAAAGAAAAGAAAACTTTTGTCATTGTATAAGTTTTTCTTTTTTCTGCTGTATATTAAAAAAAGTTTTATGCAATGTATTTTTGTCCGAGGCATACTGAGTTTTGAAGGAGACTATGCAACTGGCTCCGATTCTGTGTATGTATATATATCTGTATGTGGTGGTTCACAACTTCTACACAAAGGTGTACATGTATGTTATTCAATATTTGGCTTCACCTGTGCCTGGAAGGCAAAAGCTTAACTGAATCACGGTAAGCCTTGTGTCTCCCCTCCGGGAATAACTAATTTTGAGTGTGCAGGTGTACCCCTAAATCGGGCTTTCAATGCAGTGGGTTCTTAACATGCATTTAACATCCTATACGAGGGAGTGTTTTACACTTTGACATAGCCTGGCTTCTATGAGACGGGAGGGGCACTTTAACACACAACGCAGGTTTCAGTCATCCGCCTGGGTTGGAGTCAAACCCACGATCTTTGGTTCGACAGGCAGACGCTTAACCAACTGAGCCAACTCGCTTCATTAAGTAATTATGCTGATTAATGCCTTTTTTTACAAAAGCAAAATAACTGCTTCTTTACTTGTATTGCTAACTGTTTTTCTTGCTGTGAACTTGCTATACTATTCATTGGGAATTGCAAAGCTTCTCAATGATTTGTGACTTGTACATTTTTTGCAAACTTATGCAAATATATTCATCGTTAAAAATGTATTTCTGCAGACCAATTTTTATTCTGTATGTTTCATCTAATAGTAGCAGAGCTTAGGTATAGTCTTTTAATCTTCTACACAGAAATCTGTGATTTAATAATAGGCCTAATGCGTATTAATAATTACAAAAAGTGCTTTATAATTCTAGAACTATTTTCATTAACATATTTACATAGAGGCTTCAAAACTTCTTGAAAAAAATATACAATTTACTACTTATGCTTTTAAATTTAGGTCATAAAGTTGTTTTCAATTCATTTGAAATAACCAAATAATGCTTCTTTGTTTTTTATTGCTTTTTTTGTATTCTGTAACTCCACTACATGGAATTTGGTTTTTGCTTATTATACAATGCTTTTTCCCTGTGTAGCCTGAACACTTAAAACAAACAACTTCTTGTTGGAATGTGTTTTGTTCTTTGCAGAATTTATTTATTCTTCTGTTTAGGAGTTATTACAACATGACCTGCTCAACAACATTGCCTTTTCAAATTAATTACAACAGGCAAGATAATAATGTCTTCAGAATTGTTTTGCATACACATAAAAACTAGAACTCAGAGCAAGTCAGAAGGTAAAAGAATGTAGTGTTAAAGTCTATTCCCTTTAATACTAGTCAACTACATATAGATCTAAACTAGATCTAGAATAGATCAGAACTACTCTGAAGATATAGATTTAATCTAATTGTTAAGATCTGACAAGATTTGCTCAGCATGATGCGTGACAATTATCTACAGAAAAATCATAGTTCAGCTTCAGCATTAGGCTACTTAACACTTCCATGACTTGCATTTTACTTTCAGTATAATACAGAATTAGTTTAGATGTGAGCGTGAGTGCATGAGAGCATCAATAAGATGTCAAGCACCTGGTAGGTAACTGAGGGAGCTGTGATTTGCATGAGTGCTACAGAGCTTTAGCATAGCTAGGGTCTCCTTAGCTCTGCTCACTTGCCAAGAGTCAAGCATGAGCTTTGAAGTAGCTGTTTTTGTATCAGTGATATTTTGTAGTTCTTTGAGTGTGTTGAAAGAAGAGGTATGATTGGAGTATGATTAGTGAGATCACTTTGATCATTAAACAGATGTAGGAGAGTGAATTTAGTGTCATCTAAATTAGCAGTAGAATGCTCTGCCTTGTTTAACAAGAACTAAAGTCATTAATTTTGCACAAAGTCAAACAGTGAATAGAGATAGGGAGCTAAGAACAAGTATATATATGTGGGAATACCAATTCATCAAAATGTCTAACAAA